TAATAAAAACAGTGCCAGTTTCACTTAAAAATATACTTCATGAAGAGTAAAAATTATGAATTTTATTAACTCGTAACCCTTGAGTTCACACCTTTTTCACATTCTGTGTGACAAAATGATTAGTACGCAGGAAGCAATTCTGCGGGCTGAAGTACACTGGGGAAAAGCGTTCCTGGACCCAATTCCAGTGTGTGTGTAGAGGCCTCCACACACCAACAAGCAATTCTTATAGGCCAGACGTTCCCATGACTTCCTCCTTGGCTTCAGTTAACTTGCTAGCACGGCTCACAGAACTCAGGAAAACCCATTTATTTACTAGATTACCAGTTTATTATAAAAGGATATAAAACCACAGCCAGATGAATGATAGAGATACATAGGGCATGGCCTGGGGAGAGGGGGCAGACCTTCCGTTCCCTCTCCAGGTGCACCACTCTCCCCAATCCTCACATGTTCCCCAGCCTGGAAGCTCTCTGAACCTTGTCCTTTGGATTTTTAGTGAGGCTTCATTACAAAGGCATGACTCAGTCACTGGCCGTTGGCAACGGATTCAACCTCCAGCCGCTTTGCCCTCCCTAGAGGTTGGGCGTTGGGACTGAAAGGTCCCACCCTCTAATCACATGGTTGGCTCTCCTGGCAAGCAGCCACCCTCCTTCTGTGGGATCCAAAAGTCACTTTCTCTGAAGCGTTTTCAGGACCTGAGGACAAGAGACCAAATATTATCTCACTGCTTTTATAGCTCAGGAAAGTCCAAGGGTTTTGGGAGCTGTGAGCTAGGAATTGTGAATTAATATATACATTAATCTGAATGACCAATATATTGCAGCTGGTCACTTGAGGAGAAAGCACGTGACATTATTTGACTTGGTAACTGAACTAGCTACTATTATTTTCATGGAACATCATTTTTAGTTGAAAGTACAAACGACAGACAAACTGTGGCTATGCAGATTTAGGTATTTGGCAGAACTTTTCTAGAAAAAGTGAGATTGTTACTTCAAGGAAAACAACTGACAGTATTTGTTGCCAATAATGAAATTAGACCTTTACAGGAAAAAGGATTTTGGAAGACTTTTATCTGCTATGAGCTTGACAGCTTCCTGATACTTAATAGACTTCTAATTAGATTGGTGGTAATTAAAAAAATAGTGAAATACGTTAACATTTGAAAGGCTGCATAGCTCAGTGAACTGAAATTTTACAAATGACCAATGCATGATGTCATCAGTCATGCATGGGTAAAAGATCTATTCAAAGTGCAAGATAGACCAATGGTGGGGATTTTTTGGTTTTTTTTTGCCGCACCTTGCGGCATGTGGAACTTCCCCGACCAGGGATCGAACCCACACGCCCTGCAGCAGAAGCGCAGAGTCTTAACCACCAGACTGCCAGGGAAGCCCAAGACCAATGGGTTTTAAAGTATCAGAGTACAAAAATTCACTAATATGTTTTCAGATTCCACATTGCAACTAACTTTTAAGAACCTGCCATTTGTTGAATTTTATTGTAGTAGTAAAAAGAATACTCCACAATTATCTGAAAAGGCCATTAAAAGATTCCTTTTTGGGCTTCCCTGGTGGCGCAGTGGTTGAGAGTCCGCCTGCCGATGCAGGGGATACGGGTTTGTGCCCTGGTCCGGGAAGATCCCACATGCCGCGGAGTGGCTGGGCCCAGTGAGCCATGGCCGCTGAGCCTGCACGTCCGGAGCCTGTGCTCCGCAATGGGAGAGGCCACAACAGTGAGAGGCCCGCGTACCACAAAAAAAAAAAAAAAAAAAAAAAAAGATTCCTTCTTTCTTCAACTACACAGTGGAGTGAGGCTGGATTTTCCTTATATACTTCAACCAAAACTAAAATTGTAACAGGTTGAATGCAGAGGCAGATATGAGAATCCAGTGGTTTTCTATCAAGCCAGACATTAAAGAAATTTACAAAAATGTAAAGCAATGTCATCCTTTTCTCTGGTTTTTAAACAATTATTTTGGAAACTAGTTATTTTTCTGTAAAAATATTTACATAAAATGGATTTTCTTATTTTTAAATGAATTAAATGTTTAAATTTCTCGGTTTTAACATCTAGTACAGTAAATAGTGGTAGATACAATCTACATAAACACTCTATAGAGTTCTCAATAATTAAAAGTATAAAGGGTCCTGAGACAAAAAAAGAAAATTGAGAACAGCTGGTATAGAGGCTGCAACAGAGATTTGGAGAAAGAAGGCCTAAATTCAAGTTCCCGTTCTATCACTTAACTGCGAGTTTAGGTAAGTTACTTAGGTGCAGGCTCTGAAGACAGACCTTGTGTTTACATTGGCTCCATCACTTGCTGGTAGTATGTGAGTCATTCTACCTCTGCAAATAGGGATAACCTACTTCACCAGGTTGCTGTGAGAATTAAATGGGATTATACTTGTCAAATGCTTACAGTTGTTACCTACAACATAGAGTTAAAAGCTAGCTACTGGTATTAGTTATATTAGCTAGTCATCTGACAGGATCCTAGAGGCTGGGGCACAGTCCTGGCTTTCTTCATCCTCTCTGTGTTACCGAACCCAGGTCCGGCTGCTTGCCGCTGGAAAGCCAATTCTCGAGAGATGAGTGTTGGTAGGAAGGGAAAGGTTGCTTTATTTTGGAGGCTGGCAGCTGGGGGAGGGGGTGGACTCCTGTCCAAGAACCAACTCCCGACTGCTCTCAGGGGACAGGGGCTTTTAAAGGGGAGTTTCAGGGTTGCATAGGCAGGAGCAGAACAGCACAGTCAGTTCGGACAGTCATCGTGAAACCAGTAATGCGGTGGTCTGGTCAGCGTCATCTTGGTTGTTTTAAGAACAGTTAATCTTTAGTTCCAGGGTTTCCATTTCTTTGAGGCCAGTTCTTGGAATTGTGGCAGCTTATGTCATGGCTACAGTCTGGTCATCATGTAGTTAACTTCTTCCAACTGGTGGGGATTTCAGTATCTGTAAGACAGCTCACAGGATACGGCTCAGAATATTATCTATAGCCCTTGAGGGACTGAAGGTCCTTGACTATGCTTAATGACTAAACTATTATTTGGTCTCCTTTGACTGTTTTCCTTTGTTTCTGCATTTTCTCACTTCTCTGATTAAACTTATTCTTTGGCTAAAGTTTTTCCACAGACAAAAGGCGGGCTGAGGACATGGGGTGAGGGGCAGGGACCGTGGGGTCCTGCTCCATTTCATCTGCAAAGAACAGAAGCTATTCAGGTGTTATAAATTTGAGGAGAAGGTATAAGTAAACTTGTGGATAATTGTGTGTGGCTCTTAAACTGTAAGAGAATTAATCTGTTATTAAAAAATCCCTTTTAGTTTCCTTTTTCTCAGCTTTTGAAGAAATAACAAGACTGAAAAACATTCCCTGAACCCTTGCCCTATAATCTAGTTAGAAAATAGGGAAGTATTTTATTGCATGCCCGAAGGAATTGAAGTCTTCCAGAAAACTAAACAGGAGAGCTGGTAGGGCTACTACTTGGGGAATTCTTTTAACCTCTTGACCTCTGTTGTGTCATCTTGCTGGACAAAAATATCTCATCTCCAACCCTCTTGCGGCTTTTGAATCCTGCCAAGCTCACCTCTACATCTTTTAAAGATATCTTTTTGGCAGCTTCTAAATCCCAATAAACGCAAAGGAGAGGGGCAAAGACCCAGAGACGATCTTTTGTTCCCTTGCAAATGCCAATGGTATCCGTTCTCAGCACCCAGAAGTGGAGGTCTGGGTAGACGCAACTACCGCCAGCGCCTGTCCTACTTCTCACTAAGGGCATGGCATCCCGGCGTCCCTGCACCATCCCGGCCCATGAGCAGGGTTAGCCAGGGTACCACCGGGTCAGAGGTCTGTTTTCCCATCTATTAAGTGGGGAGGCTGGGTCATCTTGAAGAACCTTGCTTTCACTGCAATTTGAAACGCTCTCCACCTAAAACGTCTCATTCCTCATCCCTGCCTTCTAAATACCTGAGGCCTTGCACCCAGACCCCGCGCGCGGGTACCGAGCGGAGGGCGCGCCGCCGGCAACACCCGCGTGCCCAGCGCTCCGACCGCCAGCCCGCTCGGAGGAGCACATCTCGCGCGATTCCCTCCACCTCTCGCGACACTTCCCGCCAGCGCCCCTGCGGGCCTCCACGCCCCACCCGTTTCCTCCACGCAGCGGTCCCCGTCACCTCACCTTTGCTCTTGGCAACCTGGCCCGCTGCTCGGCCGCTGGGAGCGCGGCGGAGGCCTGTGTTGGGCGCGAGCCCGGCAGGGCCGCAAGCTCCGCCCTGCTCTGCTCCGCTCCGCCCCTCCTGGTCTCGCGGGGAAGGCCTCCTTTGGGGATATGTCGTAGCCCACTCAGCGAAGGCAGGAGAACTTAAAAGGCTGCGGGGCTGCAAGGTGAGTCTGCCGGGGCGCGTTGGGGCCGGCGGCCGGGCCCAGGGCTCCGACCGGCGTGCGGGTGGGAGGCACTGCGGGATGGAGATGCCAGGGGCAAAGGAGGACGCGACGCCCGAGGCAGGGAAGGGGGGCTGGGAGGATCAGCCCTGGCGGGGTGGGGGTGACAGCGGTTACAGGGACGCGGCCAGGGCCCCTTTTGCATCCACCGTGCCCGAAGGCACCGGGAAATTACCTTGTTTTCATCCACGCTCCGCTCCTCTCTGCGGGGCTGGACGCGGAACGGGGAGAGGTGTCCGCGAACCCTGAGGTCCCAGACCTGGGCTGCAGGAGGCCCGGGGTCGTGGGGAGAAGGGACACACAAAGTGGCGGAGGTAAATTCGTGCTGGGAAAAAAGATAAAGTGGCGGAAGCTGGAGAGCGTCCGCTCCGAGGGAGGCCGGGTGTTTGCGGTCCCGCTGCGCTCGGTGCTGAGATAGCGATGGTCTTGCCCGCGCCCCTCCAAGGAGCCTGGGTTTACTTTCGACGTCTGCAGTGTTAGTCTCTGCGAGTGTTAAAGGGGCGTAAACACACAGGTCACGGTCTTCCTTGAGGGAAGGAGGCTTTTGAGGTCAGTTGTTACTTTTCGTCTGAGACCTGGATGTTGCGAGTGGGTGCGCGCCTGCGCACAGTGGCCCCAAGCGAGGGTTCGCGTTTTCAGAATTTGTACCATAGTCTCTACTTAAGCACCCTTCAAGCATTGATAAAAAGTGACTGGTTCTTAAGTGAATAGTTTTATTTTCAGTAGTGTGATTCCAGTAGTCATGTAAATGTGTAATGACAAGGGCCTGGAGCCTAAAACCAGGCGTTATTAAGACGGAGTACGCGTTTTTGCCTTGGGACCAGACTTAGATTGGAAATTGGGGTAAAATTTTTTTTGCAGTCAAGATTTCGACCATGTGTTTCTTGTGATTCCAGTTTTGTTTAATTAAAACCATGCAGTTTTCTGAGAGGATTGGAAGATCAGTGCAAAGTGGTTGGTCTAACTATAAGAAGCGTTTTGTTTAAGGCCTCCTTCCTCCAAAAAAAAAAAAAAAACCCAAAAACAAAACCAAAAAGAGCTGTTAATTTATGTTATTTCTGTTTTAAATTATGTAGCCCCCTTAGTTTTTTTTCAGAAATGACTCCTTAAAAATGACCAGTTTTGTGTGTGAACAGTTACACTGTTAATAGAAGGAAATGTTATTTATAGTTTTCTTTTGTCTTTTAGAGAAAGAAATGTCATCAGTGGAATCACACGAGGAACAATTGTCCCAGTCAGATCCATCCCCGTCACCAAACTCATGTAGTTCCTTTGAGCTAATAGACATGGATGTTGGCAGTTTGTACGAACCCGTTTCTCCTCATTGGTTTTATTGTAAGATAATAGATTCTAAGGAGACATGGATTCCTTTCAACTCTCAGGATTCACAGCAGCTGGAAGAGGCATACGGTTCTGGTAGGGTGAAAGCTATGACTTGTAATAGACAAGGACTTACTGTCATTTCTCTAAAACTATAATATAAAAGTCCTTATAGTGAGTGCTATTAGAAGTAAATTTTAGATCTTTTTCTAGTTGTCTCATAGCATTTTTTTTTGCTTTACGTTTTTTATACTTTCCAAATTTTACTTAATAATCTTTTCTTTTTAACATCTTTATTGGAGTATAATTGCTTTACAATGGTGTTAGTTTCTGCTTTATAACATCCTATAGCATTTTTATATAGAAGTTCTGCATTACTATCCAGCCAATTTATAATCAAGAATTTGGTCTGTATCTTGAAAACAGTACCTATTGTAATTCCTGCATAGTTAACCAATAATGTTTCTTATGTTTCAGTTTCTGTTTATGAAGAGTGTGGTGCGGGCAGTGTCACATTGCAAAAGAATGAATTCTTTCATTTTTCTCTTGTTTTTTCTTCTTTTATGAAACAAGAATGATGCCGGTTACTACTTTATCATCATGATGGTCATTAATTTATCTTTTGGTCCCTTAAACAAAAAATTCAGAAAAGCTTTCTTGTATACATTTTTTTTTTTTAAGGGACACTCCTATCTCTCCTTAGAAAAAGAACAAAACAGCGTTGGGTATTATTTTTTTCATGTTTCATTAAAACCAAGAATGATTTTGATGGTTTATAAAGTACTTTAGCCAAGAAGAAACAGATCATTCGTGTGTTTTATAACATTACTGAGAATATAACTCAGAGTTGTATTTTGGGAGCTTTATTTTGCTATACTATGTACTTCATTTCCCCTTTCCACTCCTTGATAGGAAAAGACTGTGATAGGAGAGTTGTGCCCACTGATGGGGGCAGATACGATGTTCATTTGGGGGAGAGGATGCGGTACGCCGTATACTGGGATGAGCTAGCATCGGAAGTGAGGCGCTGTACCTGGTTTTACAAGGGAGACAAAGATAATAAGTATGTTCCATACTCGGAGAGCTTCAGCCAAGTGTTAGAGGTATTCCTGTGACCCTTTTACTCATTTTCTTCATTGTGTTCTCTTATTTCATAATCTTTTCTTCCTCTTGTGACTTATTCTGTGAAATTACAGAGAGAGTTTGGTTGGTTCTATTTGCATCACAGTTCATAGCATTTCTTTTTGCAAGTTAGTTTCAGGATAAAGTAGTTTTATTTTCAAATTTTGAAATACTATGGAAACTATTATGTATTTAAATTAAAATTTTTTTTCTCTAATGGTGATCTTTGTGAATATTTAAACTGTGACCACAGGATTGGTCTTTTTTGCCTTTTATTTTTCTTGCTCTGAAAATATTCTGAAATTTGCTTTAAATTGGAGTAGGATATTAATATTATTGAACGAAATATATCAAAATGTGAACAATGATTATTTCTAGTCTTGATGATGGAATTGGGACTGATTTTTTTCCTTTGTCCTGTACTATTATCATAATTTTAAAAGAATTTTAAAATAAATTTGACAAATCAAGAGAAAGAACTTTATATGTAATGTAATCCTCATTTTATGGATAATATACATGCATTAACATTACTGAAAGAAATATATCAAAATGTGTACAGCGATTATCTCCAGTCTAGATGATAGAAGTAGAAGTGATTATTTTTTCTTTGTTCTATACTAGTACCTATTCTCATTTTAAGAGAATTAAAATACATTTGATAAATTAGAGTAAGATACTCTTATTGTAATTGTTTATCTAGCAGTATTCTTGTTAAAAAGTTCAGTTTTAATAGAAAAACCATTACAGAAATCTAATGAAATGTGTTTTCTTTTAAGGAAACTTACATGCTTGCTGTAACTCTGGATGAATGGAAGAAGAAACTGGAGTCTCCCAACAGAGAAGTTATTATATTGCACAATCCAAAGGTTAGCAAATTAATGCCCTTCTTTAACATTGGGATTAAAGGTTAATTGCATTAGTAAGAACTTAACTGGTTTCTTTTTCTGGGGATTCTTCGTAAGATAAGCTTTGGACATTTTTATATTGCATTCACAGTTATGAAACTTGAAGCTGTGGCTCTTACCATCATTTCCTCATTCAACTCTTACACAGAAATTTTCTTAGGGAAAATTATGTCGCTGTAGATTTAGAAAATCACTGACACGTTATGTGGGCACCTCTTCCATGTGTAGGGTATGGTTGAAAGATCTGTTAGCCTGATGAATTTTCATTTTCCTTTTTTTTTTTTTTTAGCTTTACTGAGGTATAATTGACAAAATAGTAAGATATTTAAAGTGTACAACATTAGCCTAATGTATTTTCAGGATTCTCATTTCAAGCTGTAGGAGTTGCATATCAAAACTCCAGTTGAGATTTGACTGTGTTATGTTTTAAAAGACCCGTTCCTACCCCTCAGAATGTATAAATAGAAGTGTCTTTAATGTAGAGTATGTTTATTGCTCTGATCTTTTTTATTTAAGCTTATGGTACATTACCAGCCAATCGCAGGGTCTGATGAATGGGGTTCAACACCCACTGAGCAGGGCCGACCTCGAACAGTGAAGAGAGGGGTTGAGAACATCTCTGTTGACATTCATTGTGGTAATGTTAATCATTCATTTTTTTCCTTATCTTCTGATATACTTGTTTATGATTTAAATTGTGGTCTTTCTCTATGGCTTTAGATTACGTCAAGGCTTAAAAATGGTCTTTAATCAAATGGGCTTATTCTAAGTTAAGATTAGCATTACTTCATCTACTAAGAATCTTAATAGGTATAAAAATCTCTTTTAAAGTTGCTAAGTATATATGGTGGGATGGATAAAATTTGACAGTACTAGTCAGGAGGTCACTAAGTACAAATGAACTGATTTAGTCCTAATTCTAAGAAGTGTGATTCCACCTGCTTGATTATTAATTTATTCCTGGTAACTCCTGAAGGTTTTCAACCAGGGAAAACTATTTTTCAGGGACCTTGATGGTTATCCATTGCTCTCTAGCTAGGGTCATTTATGGTTGGTTTTATAATATATTTAACTGGATTATAAAATTCCTTTCATCTTTCAGAGGAGATGGCTTGTCTCTTGGACAAAGTCGTAGACTTATTGTAATTTGAAAAGATGAGTTTAAAATTTCAGGCTTCAAATACATGTCAGATTTTATTGGTACAACTGATAAACACAGGATAGTAGGTAAAAGTATCCTGTCAATATTAAATTACTTGAATTTGGTAACTGCCCTGTGGTTAAATAAGAGCATATTCTTAGGAAATACATAATAAAATATTAAAGGATTAAAGAGATGTGATATGTGCCATCTGATAATGTATGCAACCTGCTCCCAAATGGTTCAGAAAAATAAATGTGTGTGAATACACATACACATAGAGAAATAAAGCAAATGTGGTAAATGTTAGTGTTGAATCTGTATAAAAAGTATGTGAGAGTTTCTGTACTGTTCTTTCAAGTTTTCAATAAGATTGCAGTTATTTCAAAATAAAAAGTTGAAAAAACTTGAACAATTTTTTCACTGACTTATTACAAGATAAATAAGAAACAAAGTAACATCACTATATTTTTACTAAGTAGTTAAATATGGGACTATCTGTGTCTTTTAAAATATCTGCTCATATTTTAACTTGCCCATTTCTATTGTCTACGCATTGTGAATGTTTGATTTTAGAATACATGACTCGTTATATAGAGTAATTTTTCTTTGTAATTTCACTTGTAGGGGAACCTTTACAGATAGATCACTTGGTTTTTGTAGTCCACGGGATCGGACCAGCCTGTGATCTCCGCTTTCGAAGCATTGTACAGTGTGGTAGGTTCGCAAAGCATGTCATATTAGATCATGTAAGGGGACTGTTAGTGCTCCTGTGAGTTGAGATGAAGTGTTGTCTTTAGCCTATTGTCTTAGCTGCATAATAAGATTTGGAGAGATTAAGACAGGTGGCAAGGTAGTCAAGCTTCCCAGCTTAGACCTAAAGTGCTAGTAAATTCCTTAGGCTAATAGGTTTATATTCTTAACTAATAATTCTTGAGTGAATAAGCCCTCAAGTCTTATACAATTGTTTTATGATGTGATGGTCCTGTTTATAACCATTCTAAATTTAAAGGGAACCATAAATATATGACCATGAAGATAATATAGTTTAAATGAATAACAGAAGCTTCAACCATTTTTGTAATTCATACTGTGATAAACCTTATGATATTCTAATTGGAATATTTAGGCCATTAGTATAACTTGACTTTGAAAGGCAGTATTCATAGTCTAACTGCCCTAATTTGGGAGTCTGATCCTAATGGCTAATGCTTCTAAGCATAAACCTCCTAGAAGGTTAAGATCGATGCAATATGAATTCCAAACAGCAGTGTATCTTTTAAAAATTTAAAATATGGGGTAAACGTTGTTTATAAGAACCAGAAAGTTAGGATAGGAACCTGACTGCAAGGCCAATTGACATAGTCAAGTGGTTTTTTTAAAAAAATGGAAACAGTTCCCTTGACACGGCAGAAGTTTTGAAGTTACTGTGTGATTTTTTTTATATAAAAATGTTTTGTATAGTAATAGCAGTTCTATATTAAAGGAATGTCTTTTTCTACATGCACTGTTAATTTTTTCTTGACTACTCACTCTACTTTTGACTCGAGTCAATAGGTGCTATAAGCAGATATAGATGGATGTAGTATAATTAATTATAAGATCTGTTGCATTTTCACTCTACAAATTGATCGCTTCACCGTTAATGCATTGTTAATTTTCTTTTCTAGTTAATGATTTTCGCAGTGTTTCTTTGAACCTGCTACAGACACATTTTAAGAAAGCCCAAGAAAATCAGCAGATTGGGAGGGTAGAATTTCTCCCAGTCAACTGGCACAGTCCTTTGCATTCCACTGGTGTGGATGTGTGAGTAGTACTTTACACCTTTGAGTTGCTAACTGTGATTGTAATGTTTTCTGATCATTGATATGCTTAGGAACATTTCTGCTATAGCTGATCGTATATATAAAATTTTGTTCAACAGAAAACTTTTTGTACTTTTGTGTCTTTTTCCTAGAGGTACATTATTAAGTGCGGACCAGTCCCTTTGTTTAACTAGCTCGGGTTAGGAGTGGGGAGTTGTGTGTATCTTCTTCCAGTATGTTTTACTGGCTCATTAGTGTTTACTATTACAGCTTTATTATTTCTTTAGCATAAAGCAAAATGTTGCTTTCTCCCCATAGTGTATAAGCATTTCCATCTTAAGATGTCAAAAGCCAGTCTACCTCAAGATGCACAAAGTATTTTGTTGTTCCTTTTGTGATCACATTTAGATAATATTTGTCCAAATTTGGGGAAAAAAGGAAATTCCCAAATATTAAATTATTGGGTTTTATAACTTGAGGTATAATTGGTGCAATGACTTATAAGTAAGTGATGGCTTTCTTAAGTTACAAGCTCAGTAGTTCTGTTTGTAAACTTTTTGGTAATGTCAGAGAAGGTTGCCTTATATTAAGGATATTCACTGTGGGCTCACCAGAAAGAAGTATGTTCATGATATAGTTCTAGGCTAGAACTAGGAGATGCTTCTCTGGTAGATAAAGGAAGTAGCATTGTTTCCATGCTGGTCTTGGAAATGGCTTTTCTGATTCCGTGTCTCTCAGTTCTTAATACCCTATGATTTGAATATATTCCACGTGCCAAATGCTCCACTGTGGTGTTGCTTTTACTAGGTGTACAGAGGTCACATTCTTTCATATTTGAGCTGATGCTAAGAGGTTACTAGGGGCACATAGCCCTCTCTAAACTACAGAAGATGTTGAAGGTTTGAGGAGTCTTTCTGGGAGCTTTGAGAAAGCTTTATGTGGAAGCTGATTTATACTACGTCAACATTGTTTTCCTTTGCGAGATACGAGTTCTGTTTGTCCTTGGCATCTGGCAGTCTCACCTTCTTTCAGCTTTTAGAAATTCGGCATAGAGAGAGAGAGAGCTGATCCATTTATCATTTGACTTGTGATCAAAAAACCTTAATGCTGAGAATTCTAGGAAAAGCCTCTTGTATCTTTTAAAAAACTTTATTATAGAGAATTTTGTACACAAAAGTAGCATATATAATGAATCTTCATGGATTGATTATGATTACCCAGCCCAACAAGCCTCAACACGTGGCCAGTTCTGCCCCATCCATATCTTCCGTGTACTGCCCATCCCTCCACTCTATTACTTTTGGATAAAATCTTAGACATCATATCATTTCATCTGTTAAATGTTTCAGTTTGTATATCCTTTTAAGGATTAAAAAAATATATATAACACCATTATCACATCTAAAAAAATTCTTAATATCAGCAAATATACAATCAGTATTCAAATTTGTAATTGTCTAATGTCATAATTTATATATACACATACATACATATACATGCACATACACACATAGTTTAAACTGGGATCATAAATTGCAATTAGTTGATGTCTTTTAAGTCTCTTTTAATCTCTTGATTACCTTTCTATCTCTTATTTTCTTGTAATTTATGTCTTGAGGAGGCTGGGTTTTTTGTCTTGCAGCGTTTCTCACACTGAATCTTGCTGGTCACATCCCTTTGGCTTCATTACAAATGTCTGTCTGTCCCCTGTTTCCTGTAAATTGATAGTTATCCCTTGTATCTTAATTTCTAAGTGTAATTTGGGTAATAACTTAGAGGAGGCTGTGGAATGTATTTAGGTTTTCTGCTTAAAATATCTTCTGTTTTTTTCAGAGATCTGCAGCGAATAACTCTGCCCAGCATTAACCGCCTAAGGCACTTCACCAATGATACAATTCTGGATGTCTTCTTCTACAACAGCCCCACCTACTGTCAGACTATTGTGGACACAGTTGCTTCTGAAATGAACCGATTATATGTACTTTTTCTGCAGAGGAACCCTGATTTCAAAGGGGGCGTATCCATCGCTGGTCATAGTTTAGGTAACGGATTCTTTGTGATCAGAGATGACTATCACATTTTAAGGATAGCTGGGTTTGAAGTACAGTGTCTTTTATCAGTATCAGATTCAGAGGTCTAGAACTGGTCTGTGATGAAGAATTTGGAAGGCATTGGAAGGGTGGTGGTGGATTGGAAAGAATGACTCCCTACTTCATAGATTTTGCTTCATGGGTAATTGGCTTATTACTTTTTTTGTATGAAAGACAGCTATTTAGTGCTAATGCTTCGAAATTGTCCCTTCTTTCTTCTGTTTTACTTGTAGGTTCACTTATATTGTTCGATATCCTAACAAATCAGAAAGATTCTTTGGGGGATGTTGACAGTAAAAAGGTAATTTAGATGTTCAGATAGGTTCTTTTGTATGCTTTCTTAGTAAGCGTTTTTAGATTTTAGGCTTTTTGTTTTTTGCTTTGTCTCATACCATAATATTTATGTTTATTTTAATTTTAACAGACTTGTAATTATCTCTGTCATTCTTGGATGATAGAAGCAAGATAGTAGTATGCTTCTACAGATATTTGCCACATTCTAAAATAATTATAGGTATCTTATTTTTTCATTATAAATATGCACTACTGATCTGTTACTAGAATTATAGAATCACTGAGTTGAAATGGAATTTGCATATGAGGAAATGAAGAGTGAATTGGATGCAAATTGATATAGTTTATAGAAATTCTGTTTGAAAGCCATCCTTAAACATTAATAAGAGCTCAGGGAAGGCTTTATTAATGATGATGAAGAATACTTTGATACTCATTTATTCACTTATTCATTTATTTAAAAACATACTAGGTTTCAACTGACTGCAAAAACTTTTAAAGATCAATCACATCTTAATTTATATTTCGTATAAATTACAATTTATTCAAAGTTAAGATAGGTCTCTGTGGATATCTGACATAGTACTTTCCTTTATTGCAAAGTAATATTAATAAAAATCTGAATGAATTTAGAGAATACGAGCTTTACAATTTAATTTTTAGGATTTGCCAAGTATTTTCATGGATCAAGGAGACACCCCGACACTGGAGGAAGATTTGAAGAAACTTCAACTCTCTGAATTCTTTAGTGTCTTTGAGAAGGAGAAAGTAGATAAGGAAGCTCTGGTAAAAATAATCTTTTAAAGCTTTGCACTATACCATTTTCAGTATTTTTTTTTAAATAAATTTATTTTATTTATTTATTTTTGGCTGCGTTGGGTCTTCGTTGCTGTGCGTGGGCTTTCTCTAGTTGCAGAGAGTGGGGCTACTCTTCGCTGCGGTGCACAGGCTTCTCATTGCGGTGGCTTCTCTTGTTGTGGATTATGGACTCTAGGCGCATGGGCTTCAGTAGTTGTGGCTCGCGGGCTCTAGAGCGCAGGCTCAGTAGTTGTGGCGCATGGGCTTAGTTGTTCCGTGGCATGTGGGATCTTCCCGGGCCAGGGATCGAACCCGTGTCCCCTGCATTGGCAGGTGGATTCTTAACCACTGTGCCACCAGGGAAGTTCCCCATTTTCAGTACTTTTATTGCTTCTTTTCATCGTACTGCTTGCTAAGAGCCTGCCCTTAGAAACATTTTAGTCATAAATACTTCGTTATCATTAGTAATGCTCTTTAGCCTTATCTGTGTGCTTTTTATCGTATAAAGTGATCTTTGCTTTGTGGAGGTTCAGAGTTCCGAGGAGCCACGTTAACAGCAATGGAGCAAAGACTAAACCACAGCAGAGCTCTGAAAACATGAGAGCAGGAATAAATGACCACTAACTTCTCCAGCTCTTGCTTTCTGTCATGCTTTGTAGAGCTCTGCTGCGGATGTTTGCTTGTTTGTTTGTTTTGTCACCACTAGGGAGTGCTAGTCGTGCAAAGCAAAGAACAACAGAGTGTTCAGGCCTTATTCCTCTCAGAGAACAGGGCATTTACTTACTTATTTTTAGGACATTTAATTGATTTTAATTTGCTGAGAAATAAGAAAGATATTTGATTTTTTATGCTTAGGCTTTATGTACAGACAAAGATCTTCAGGAAATGGGAATTCCCTTAGGACCAAGAAAGAAGATACTAAACTACTTAAGGACCAGAAAAAATTCAATGGTATGTGCTTAATATAGCTTGTAGGATTAAACAGTTTTTTGACTTCCTTGTATCCTTGTGCTTTGTGAGGTGTTTAGTATAGGGAGCTAAGCAATTTTTAAAATTGACCTTTGGCTCTCTTTTCAGAAATTAAACACATTTACTTTATTGATATCTTTAAAAGTGTTATTAGCTTCAGAAGTTTTATTTCCCCTGGACTTCCACCATTCAGTTTTTTCCTTTTTTTTTGTTTGTTTTGTAACTGCTTTATTGAAATATAATTCACAACACATACCATAAAATTCACCCTTTTAAAATATACAATTCAGTGGGTTTTAGTATATTTGCAGAGTTGTATAACCATTACCACTATCTAATTCCAGAACGTTTCCATCACCGCAGAAAGAAACATCATGTTCATTAGCAGGCACTGCCTATTCCTCCCTCCTGTGAACCACTGATCTATTTTCTGTCTTCATGTATTTTCTTATTCTGGATATTTCATATAAATGGAGTCATACAATATGTGGCCTTTTGTGACTGGTTCCTTTCACTTAGTATAATGTATTCAAGGTATAACCCCGTTGTAACAGTGCTTATGCACTGGGCATTTTTGGCCACTGATTCCTTTCCATAGTCTAATTAATTATTTTTCAACCTTTTAGCAGGTTGCTCAGTTCTGATTTAAGGCTGATAGAGACATACTACTTGCTTTGGTTAGAAAGGCATAGCACTTCATTGAACTCCTCAGCAATCCCCAACATTCATTCCACAGTGCTCTGCTATCGTTTTCTCTCATGATGGTTGCCTAAAGTTTCAACTGCTGCCCAAATGGCTTTGTACAGCTTTCATTATTTCCGAGCATGTAGGGATATCAGTTCATAATTTAAGGCAACTTTTGTTTTCATCAGCTTTAGCTTGTTCTCTGAGAGATTCTTCTTAAAATTGTTGACTACCATTTCAGAACCTTCCCAAGCATCCTTTTAAACCAGTAGAAAACTGTATAATCCTTTGGATATTTTCACTACATAGCAGTTCCACAGAACTATTTTTTATTCTTTAGGGTATTAATAGACCAACCCCGCAATCACCTGCAGGGGCGAATATGTCTAACATCCCCAAAGAATCGGAGTTCTGCAGTAGTACTAATGGTACTGGAAATGGTGAACATCTGGATGTTGGCATTGGGCAGGTAACAATACTAATTCTCTTTGGTCATTTTATTGTTTGCCGTTGGTATGGTAGGAACAGATGTAACTTCTGTTGTTAATGAGAGATGCTTTTATTTCCTCCTTCCAGGTGCCTGTAAAATACCCCCGGCTCATCTATAAACCAGAAATATTCTTTGCCTTTGGATCTCCCATTGGAATGTTCCTTACTGTCCGAGGCCTAAAAAGAATTGACCCCAACTACAAATTTCCAACATGCAAAGGTTTCTTCAATATTTATCACCCTGTAAGCATTGGACAGCTCTTGTGGTTTTACCCGACTATTAGGGCTTACTGGTAAAGCACGTACGATATTCTATTGTGTTGATTTACTTTTTCCTATGTTATTCTGTAGTAATGAGATAATTTATAATAGTATGAATCTGGAAGTGATGGGGCAGAACAACTACATTTTAAAAAATGAGCTTATAATTATTCTTGCCTGATACATAGCTCCTGAGACTGTCATTATCTTTCTTCAGCAGAGGTATATGTAGCTATTGTTTTTCCTATGTAGTTTGATCCTGTGGCCTATAGGATTGAACCAATGGTGGTCCCAGGAGTAGAATTTGAGCCAATGCTGATCCCGCATCATAAAGGCAGGAAGCGGATGCACTTAGGTAAGTCTTGAATATAGAACCTGATAATTCTAGACCTTCTGGTCAGTGCAAACTGACTGGACCTCATTCACTTTGTTTAGCTGTGTTGAACCATTTTACCTCTGTAAACCATGTAATGTTCTTTTTCATATGTTTCAGAACTGAGAGAGGGCTTGACCAGGATGAGCATGGACCTTAAGAACAACTTGCTAGGTTCGCTGCGGATGGCCTGGAAGTCTTTTACCAGAGCTCCATACCCTGCCTTACAAGCTTCAGAAACTGCAGAAGAAACTGAAGCAGAACCTGAATCAAGTTCAGAGAAGCCTAGTGGTCAGTGACACTGTGCATACTGATTTCCTGCACCAGGCCAGATAAGAGGGACTCCATGGTGTCTGGTTCTTATTCTCCCAGGGTCTTCTGACTTTCTCCTTTTTTATTGTTTAGGACCAATACTATGAGTCCTAATGGGCCTTCCGCTCTGCTGGTGTTTTCTGTCATCTAATAGCCACAAATTTTGGAAAAACATTGTTTGTGAGGGAAGATGTCAAGAGAAGCTGAGCATCTAGTAATGAGGCTTTAAACATTCCCCACTTGGGCACTATGGCAGTGCTGCTCAGAGCCTACGCTGTGAAGAACCTTGCTTTTACAGGGGAATGTCTGTGTATTCATGGGTTGGTTTTATTTTCCTGGCTGGGGACTAGCTAGGACACTTTTCCTCTTAATTTCACAGTTAATGTTGCATTCTTTTGCTTTAGTTTTCAATTGCCTAAGGAGTTCTAACCCTGCTTGCATTTAGTTTGTAAACCAAAGGCAAATGGAATTAGCCATTAAAGGTACAGGAAGGAAAAAAGGGATTGGATAAAATCAGTGTGCCTTGAGGAGAGGCTTTAAGGGGATTGAGAGGAGGAACATGAGAGAGAACTTTCTGAGCAGGGTAGCTCGTCCTACGGTAAAGCTGGAGCCTGAGGGAAAGCAAGGACAACCTTGGAGGGCTGGACGCTTTTATATTCTTATTACGGTTCTTCTGTATCCAGATGTTAGCACAGAAGAGAACCTTGTAGCAGTTAAACAAGAAGCTCCCCCCATCCATGTGGGAATGCTGAATGGAGGCCAGCGCATCGACTATGTGCTACAGGAGAAGCCCATTGAAAGTTTTAATGAATATTTATTTGCTTTACAAAGTCATCTATGCTACTGGTAAGTGTTGTTTTTTTAAGTCTACCTTTTTAAAAAATTAATTAACTTATTTTTTAAAAATTTTTATTTATTTTATTTTTGGCTGTGTTGGGTCTTCGTTGCTGCGCGTGGTCTTTCTTTAGTTGCGGCGAGCGGGGGCTACTCTTCGTTGCTGTCACGGGCTTCTCATTGCGGTGGCTTCTCTTGCTGCAGAGCATGGGCTCTAGGCGCAGGCTTCAGTAGTTGTGGCTTACAGGCTCTAGAGCGCAGGCTCAGTAGTTGTGGCACACGGGCTTAGTTGCTCCACGGCATGTGGGATCTTCTTGGACCAGGGCTCGAACCCGTGTCCTCTGCATTGGCAGGAAGATTCTTAACCACTGCGCCACCAAGGAAGCCCCTAAGTGTTTGTTTTTGTTTTGGAGTTTTTTGGTCTTAATTGTTTGTTAAGATTTCTTCAAATGACATGAGTGTGCTGTTTTGTAATTGTCTGAACAAGAAATCATTCTAATCCCAAATGTACACTGGCCTATCTCCTTTTTCTACATCTGTCAAATATCTGTGAAATAATTAAGACTTATTTCACTAAGCATGATATTCTTTAGGTCCATCCACGTTGCTGCAAATGGCAGAATTCCATCTTTTTTTATGGCAGAGTATTATTCCATTGTAATATATACCACATTTTCTTTATTCATTTGTCTGTTGCTGGACACTTAGGCTGCTTCCATATCTTAGTTATTGTGAATAGTGCTGCTATGAACATTGGGGTGCGTGTATTTTTTCAAGTTAGTGTTTTCGTTTTTTCTGGATATATACCCAGGAGTGGAATTGCTGGATCATATGGTGGTTCTATTTTTATTTTTTTGAGGAGCCTCCATACTGTTTTCCACAGTGTCTGTACCATTTCACATTCCCACCAACAATGGACAAGCATTCCCGTTTCTCTACATCCTCGCCAGTGTTGTTATTTTGTGTTCCTTTTTTTTTTTGCGGTACGCGGGCCTCTCACTGTTGTGGCCTCTCCCATTGTGGAGCACAGGCTCCGGACGCGCAGGCCCAGCGGCCATGGCTCACGGGCCCAGCCGTTCCGCGGCATGTGGGATCTTCCCGGACCGGGGCATGAACCTGCGTCCCCTGCATCACCAGGCAGACTCTCAACCACTGCGCCACCAGGGAAGCCCTGTGTTCCTTTTGATGACAGCCGTTCTGACAGGTGTGAGGTGACATCTCATTGTGGTTTTGATTTGCATTTCCCTGATGATTAGTGATATTGAGCATCTTTTCATGTGCCTGTTATCCATTTATGTGTCTTTCTTGGAAAAATGTCTATTCAGGTCTCCTACCCATTTTTTGATTGGGTTATTTGTTGTTTTTTTTTTGATATTGAGTTTTATGAGCTGTTTATATATTTTGGATATTAACCCCTTATCACATATCATTTGCAAATATTTTCTCCCATCCAGTAGCTTTTCCTTTCATTTTGTTGATGGTTTCCTTTGCTGTGTAAAAGCTTTTAAGTTTAATTAGGTTCCATTTGTTTATTTTTGCTTTTATTTTTTTGCCTTAGGAGACAGATCCAAAAAAATATTGCTGTGATTTATGTGAAAGAGTGTTCTGCCTATGTTCTCTTCTAGGGGGTTTATGGTCTCCAGTCTTACATTTAGGTCTTTCATCCATTTTGAGTTTAGTTTTGTAAATGGTGTGCAGAAATTTTCTTATCTCATTCCTTTACATGTAGCTGTCCAGTTTTCCCAGCACCACTTGTCAAAGAAACTGTCTTTTCTCCATTTTGCATTCTTGCCTCCTTTGTCATAGATTAATTAACCATAGGTGCATGGGTTTATTTCTGGGCTCTTTATTCTGCTCCATTGATCTATGTGTCTGTTTATGTGCCAGTACTAATCTGTTTTGATAACTGTAGCTTTGTAGTATGGTCTGAAGTCGGGGAGGGTGATATCTCCAGCTTTATTCGTTTTTTCTCAAGACTGTTTTGGCAATATGGGGTCTTTTGTGATTCCATATAGATTTTAGGATTATTTGTTCTAGGTCTGCGAAAAATGTCATGGGTATTTTGGTAGGGATTGCATTAAGTCTGCAGATTGCTTTGGATAGTATGGCCATTTTAACAATATTAATTCTTCCATTCCAAGAGCATAGGATATCTTTCCATTTCTTTGTATCATCTTCAGTTTCCTTCATCAGTGTTTTATAATTTTCAGAGTGTAGGTTTTTCACCTCCTTGGTTAAGTTTATTCCTAGGGTATTTTATTCTTTTTGATGTAATTTTAAATGGGATTTTTTTCTACTTTCTGTTTCTGATAGTTCATCATTAGTGTATAGAAAAGCAATAGATTTCTGTATATTAATCTTGTATCCTGCAACTTTACTGAATTCATTTATTAGTTCTAACAGTTTTTTGGTGGAGGCTTTAGGATTTTCTATATAAAGTATCATGCTATCTGCAAATAGTGACAGTTTTACTTCCTCCCTTCCAATTTGGATGCCTTTCTTTTTTTCTTTTTTTTTTTCCCTGATTGCTGTGGCTAGGACTTCCAATACTATGTTAAATAGAAGGGGCAACATTAGGCATCTTTGTCTTGTTTCTGAATTTGGAGGAAAGGCTTTCAGCTTTTCATTGTTGAATATGACGTTAGCTGTGGGTTTGTCATAAATGGCCTTTGTTATGTTGAGATATGTTCCCTCTATATCAACTTTGATGAGAGTTTTTATCAAGAATGGATGTTGAATTTTATTAAATGCTATTTCTGTGTCCATTAAGGTGATCGTGTGATTTTTGTCCTTTCTTTCGTTGATGTGGTATATCACATTGATTGATTTGTGAATGTTGAACCATCCTTGTGTCCCTGGAATAAATCCCACTTGATCATTGTGTATGATACTTTTTTTATATTGTTGGATTCAGTTTGCTAATATTTTGTTGAGGAGTTGTGCATCTATATTCATCAAAGATATTGGCCTGTAATTTTCTTTTTTTGTATTGTATTGGTCTGGTTTGGGTATCAGGATAATGGTGGCCTCGTAGGATGAATTTGGGAGTATTTCCTCCTCTTCAGTTTTTTGGAATAGTTTAAGGATAGTTGTTTGCTCTTCTTTGTATGTTTGCTAGAATTCCCCTGTGAAGTCAGTTCTGGACTTCTGTTTCCTGAGAGTTTTTTTAAATTACAAATTTAATTTCACTAGTGTTTGGTCTGTTTAAATGGTCTGTTTCTTCTTGATTCAGTCTTGGCAATTTTTATGTTTCTAGAAATTTGTCCATTTCTTCTAGGTTGTCCAATTTGTTGGAATATAACTGTTTATAGTATCCTTTTATGATTTTTTTATATCTCTGTGGTATCGGTTGTAATTTCTCCTCTTTCATTTCTTATTTTGTTTATTTGGGTCCTTTTTCTTTTCTTCTTGGTGAGCCTGTCTAAAGGTTTATCCTTTTTGTTTATCTTTTCAAAAAACCAGCTCTCATTTTCATTGATCTTTTCTATTGCTTTTTTTAATCTCTATTTTATTTATTTCCTTCTCTGATCTTTATTATTTCCTTCCTTCTGTTGACTTTGGGCTTTGTTCTTCTTTTTCTAATTCCCTGAGGTGGTAGGTTTGTTTGAGATTTTTCTTATTTCTTGAGGAAGGCCTGTATCACTATAAACTTCCCTCTTAAATCTGCTTTTGCTTCATCCCATAGATTTTGGAGAGTTGTGTTTCCATTTTTATTTGTCTCAAGGTATTTTCTGATTTCCTCTTTGATTTCTTTATTGACCCATCATTTTTTAGTAGCATGTCATTTAGTCTCCATATGCTTGTTCTTTTCCCATTTTCCTTTCTGTAATTGATTTCTAGTTTCATACCATTGTGGTCGGAAAAAAGCTTGATATAATTTCTATCCTCTGAAATTTGTTGAGACTTGTTTTGTGGCCTAACATGTGATCTGTCCTGGAGAACATTTCATGTGCACTTGGAAAAAATGTGTATTCTGCTGTTTTGGAATGTAATGTCCTGTAGATATCTGTTATGTCCAACTAGTCTATTGTGTCATTTAAGGCCACTGTTGCCTTATTGATTTTCTGTCTGGATGATCTGTCCATTGATGAAAATGGAATGTTAAAGTCTCCTACTATTACTGTGTTATTGTCAGTTTCTCCTCTTATGTCTGTTACTATTTGCTTTATATATTTAGCATCCCCCGTCTTGGATGCATATATGGTAACAAATGTTACATCCTGTTCTTGTATTGATCCCTTTATCATTATAGAATGCCCTCCTTTGTCTTTTGTTATAGCCTTTGTTTTAAAGTCTATTTTGTCTGATAGGAATATTGCTGCCCCTGCTTTCTTTTCGTTTCCATTTATAGGAAATACCTTTTCCATTCCCTTATTTTCAGCCTGTGTGTGTCTTTAGCTCTGACGTGAGTCTCCTGGAGGCAGCATATAGATGGGTCTTGTTTTTCATCCAGTCACCCACCCTGTGTCTTTTTTAAAATGTATTTATTTATTTTTGGCTGCGTTGGGTCTTCGTTGCTGTGCATAGGCTTCTCATTGCTTTGGCTTCTCTTGTTGAGAAGCATGGGCTCTAGGCATGCGAGCTTCAGTAGTTGTGGCACGTGGGCTCAGTAGTTGTGGCTTGCGGGCTCTAGAGTGCAGGCTCAGTAGTTGTGGCGCACGGGCTTAGTTGCTCCGCAGCATGCAGGATCTTCCCAGACCAGGGTTCGAACCCGTGTCCCCTGCATTGGCAGGCGGATTCTTAACCAGTGCGCCACCAGGGAAACCCCACCCTGTGTCTTTTGATTGGAGCATTTAGTCCATTGACATTTAAAGTAATTATTGATAGGTATGTACTTATTGCCATTTTATTACTTGTTTTCCGGTTGTTTCTGTAGTTCTTCTGTATTCATTTCTTCTTTTTTTTCTTCCTTTGTGGTTTAATGATTTTATTTAGCAGTATGCTTGTGTTCCTTACTTTTGTGTGTGTGTGTGTATGTTGTAGTTTTTTGATTTGTGATTACCGTGGGGTTCTTATATGTTGACCTATATCTACTTGTGTTAAACTGGCAGTCATTTAAGTTCAGACATATTCTAAACAACCTACGTGTTTTTACTCCCCTCCCCTGCATTTTGTGGTTTTGATGTTATATTTCACATCTTCACGTTTATCCCTTAATTGTTTATTGTAGTTATAGTTGCTTTTACAGTTTTTTTGTCTTTTAATCTTCATACTGGCTTATTTAAGTGGTTGATCCTCAGTCCTTACTATGTATTTGCCTTTTCTATTGGGATTTCCCCTTTTCTATAGGTTCTTACTTCTTTTCCACTTAGAGAAGACTTTTTAACATTTCTTTTAGAGTAGGTTTAGTATTGATGAACTGTTTCAGTTTTTGCTTGTCTGAGCAGTTCTTTATCTCTTCTTCAATTCTAAATGATAATCTTGTTGGGCAGAGTATCCTGGGTTGCAGGTTTTTCCCTTTCAGGACTTTGAATATATCGTGCCACTCCCTTCTGGCCTGCAGGGTTTCTGCAGAGAGATCAGCTGATAGCCTTATGGGGATCCCCTTGTATATGACTCTTTTTTTCTTGCTGCCTTCAGAAGCCTCTCTTTACCTTTTGCCATTTTAATTATGTTGTGTCTTGGTGTGAGTGTGCTTGGGTTCATCTTGTTTGGGACCCTCTGTGCTTCCTGTTCCTGGGTATTTGTTTCCTTCAGATTTGGGAAGTTTTCAGCCACAATTTCCTCAGATACATTTTCAATGCTCTGCTCTCTCTCTTCTCCTTCTGAGACCCCCTATAATGTGAATGTTGGTACATTTAATGTTAGCCCAGAGATCTCTTATACCGTTTTCATTTTTTAAAATCTCTCTTTTCTTTTTGCTGTTCTGATTGGGTGATTTCCATTATTCTATGTTTCAGATCACTTATGTGTTCTTCTGTATCACTCAGTCTGCTATTCAGTCCTTTTAGTGTGTTTTTTTTATTGCAGCTATTGAATTCTTCATTTCTGATTGGGTCTTTTTTATATATTCTAGTTCCTTGTTAAAATTCTCACTATGTTCATTTATTCTTGTCCCTAATTCAGTTAACATTTTTTAATTAACTGTTCTGAATTCTTTATCTGGTAAATTGTTTATTTCTGTTTCATTCTTTTTTCATGGGTTTTCTTTTGCTGTTTCAATTGAGAGCAGTTTGTCTGCCTTTTCATTTTGCTTAACTTTTTCTGTCGCTATGAATTTAGGTGAAACAGTTACCTATTGCAGTCTGAAAGGGGTATTCTTATGTGGGAGCATCCTTATACAGGCTGTGTGTGCCCAGTGCCGTTGATGGGAGAGCAGGATTTGATGACACGGACAGAGTCGTCTTTCCTCAGCTATCACCTTAGTAGGGGGTGGAGCTGGATGTGAGGTGGGACTTCCCCTCTGCTCAGTGGCTGTCACCATGCAGTTGGGGACAGGGTCTGATCCTAAGTTGCTGGAGCCAAAGCCCTGATGGTCCGGCCCAGGCTGGCTCTGTTCCCTTTAGGTGTGTTTCCCAACCTCCCTGCACTGGAACCCTTGCCCCAGAGCTGGGGAGGGCAGACAAAAGTGGGGCCCATGTGGGCTCTCTGCAGACAGAGGTCCAAGCTGTCTGCCATGTGCAGCCTTGGGTGCATGTCCCCTTTGCCCCTCACAGTCGATCACTGCCCCCAGCCTCCCCTGTCTTGTTATGGGGCCACACTGCAGGGCAACTGGGGCCTGTGTGGACTCTTGGCATACGCTGGGGTGTAAGCCGTGGGGTAGGGGCCGCCGTCAGAGTTCTGGGCTTCTTCTGATGCACTGCTTGAGTAAGTACCAACAGTGGCAGCTGACACCCCACCCAGACTCTGCCCCATGCCCGGGTTGCCTGTGCATCCCTTGGCTGTGTTTCTCCCTGTCGTGGCGGCCCTAGATGCTGTGCAGTGGTGCATCGTCATGGAGCTGAGCTGTGCACCCAGGCGGGGAGACCTGGCAGCCACTAGAGCAGTCCTCCCACTGTACTCTCCGCCCTGCCTGGGGGCAAGCCAGCATGCACGTGCTCCCACAGCCCTGCTGCCCTCCAGCTAGCCAAGGGGGCTCGTCTCCCCTGATTAGGACCCCAGGACTGGGGCGTTGAATCTGAGGCTCACTGAGGCTCACTCCTCAGGGTGGGTCTCCGCCTGTGCATTCTCCCTTTTCCTCTGAGTCCCCTCCCAGGGGCACAGGTCCCAACCTGATCGCTTTCCTTCCCATCCTAAACGATTACATGTGGATCTTTCTTACAGCCTTGGTTGTACAGGAGTGTTTCTGACAGTTTCCATCCCACATACAGATGTACTTTTGATGTGATTTTTTGGGGGGGGAGTTCCACGTCCTCTTACTCTGCCACGTTGATCGATCCCCCTTGCTGTCCATACATCTTCTTTAGTGAATTGTCTGTTGAAATCTTTTGCCCATTTAAAAAATTGGTTTATTTCATTATTAAGTTTCAAGAGTTTTCTACATTTTAGTTACAAGTTCTTTTCAGATATACTTTTTTTCCTCAGGATGTGGTTTGGTTTTCATTTTTCTGTCAAGTAGGTTTTGAAACGCAGTTTTTTATTTTGATGAAGTCCATTTTACTGAAGTTTGTGCTTTTCTGACATATTTAAGAAATCTTTGCCAAATCCGATGTCATTAAGGTTTCTCCTTTGTTTTAGAAGCTGTGTCATTTTAGCTTTTACATTTAGCTCTGTGATCCATTTTGACTGAGTTAATTTTTAAAGATGGTGTGAGGAAAGGATTGAGGTTCATTGTTTTGCATGTGGTTTTCCTGTTCTAGCAACATTTGTTGAAAAGTTTATTCAGATGGAGAAACTGTTGACTTGCCTTGACTCTGTTTTGTTCCACTGATCTGTTTGTCTGTCCTTATGCCAATAAAACACTGTCCTGATTACTGTAGCTTTATAGTAAGGCTTAAAATTAGGTATCATGAGTCCTTCATCTTTGTTTTTCCTATTCGTAGTTATTTTAGGTATTGTAGGTCCTCTGCATTTCCTTATATAGTGTAGAATGAACTTGTTAATTTCAGCCAAAAGGCTTTTTAGGAATTTTGATTGTGATTGCATTTTATCTATAGATCAATTTGGGGGAAGAATTGACATCTTAATAATGCTGAGTCTTCTGACCCACGAACACAGTTGTCTCTCAGTGTATTTTGGTCTTTAGTTTCTCTCAGAAGTGTTTCGTGGTTTTCAGCGTATGTATCATGCACTCTATAATTCGTATTGCCCTCCTATTATGAATAAGGTTGAGCATCTTGACATATATTTAAGGACCATTTTAATTTTCTTTTTGGGGAGTTATCTATACCCTTTATTCTCTTTTATATTGAAATTTTGGTCTTTTTTTAATTGATAAATCTGTGATACGAGTTGCAAATACCTTTTCCCCAGTTTGTCTTTGACATTGTGTACATTAATTTTTGCTAAGTAGAAATTTTGATTTTTACGTAGTCAAATTTATTTTTTCCTTTTTTGGCTTCTGGAATTTGTGTCATACTTAGATTTTCCTTGCTCTCCAAAGAATTCCTTACCACAGTTTATTCTGATATTTTAGGGTTTCATTTTTACATATAAATCTTTGATTCTGTTCAAATTTATCCTAATAATAAGGTGAGGATTGATCCAAATCATTTTCAGGATAGCTATCCAGTTGTTGCAACACTGTTAATAGATTTGAGGTTCTAACTTTATTGTATTAAATTTCTATGAGTATTTAAGGCTATTTCTGGACTTCCTGTTCTTTTCTATTGATCCATTTATTTATGCACCAGGATCACACCATTTTAATATCTGGTTTAGCTAATCTCTCCTCACTGGTATAGGAGGAAGGAGTTTCTTAACCTGCTGTCTGTGTATGGAACTTGTGGGGAATAGAAAAAAGTATGAGTCCAGTGAAATTCTATTTATAATTTCGGGTATATATGTATATGGTATCTTTTCTGGGGAGTAATCCATAGGTTTCATTAGATTCTCAAATAGATCCATGACTTTAAAAATGTCAAACCTTAGATCTAGAAAAGTGTTTGAGCCATATACCCTTATGGCAATCCACGAATGCTGTATTTTTATAATCAAATTTCTTTACAAACTGGATATAAGTAATTGCTTGTACACACACTGAATAATATCTGGAAGATGCATGAGAAATTGATAACGTCAGTTGTCAGAAGTTGGGGACTAGTGGTTAAGAAACAGTGAGAAGGAGACTTCATTATTATATCCTTTTATATCTTTGATTTTTATTCATATGATTGTATTGGCTTTTTGAAAAAGGTGAATAACATTTAAAAAATTAAGGTGATGAATTGGACGACTCTTCCATGTTGTTCCAAGAATGAGTTCTGTGGAAAGGGAGGGCTTGGTCATTTACTACTGGCTTTTTTATATTATAGGACATAATGCTAGACTTATTTGTTATAAGGTTACCTTACAAACCACTGCCAGTTACATCACCTCTGAGTCAGATTTTTTTTAAACAGTAAAAAAATGAACTCGTAAGGTGGTTGTGTAGATTGAGATGATACATGTAAAGCATCTAGTACGAATGTTAGTTTCTTCTTTTTACAACATAATTTTTTCTCTACAGGGAGTCTGAAGATACAGTACTGCTGGTCCTCAAAGAAATCTACCAAACCCAGGGTATCTTCCTTGATCAGCCTTTACAGTAAAAATGAACCACCTATGGCTGCTTAATGTAAGTTTTTAAATGTCATGTATGCAGCATATTACATGTGACGAGGAACTGTGGAGCCTCAGCTCTTCCTACATATTAACATGTGATGAGGAACTGTGGAGCCTCAGCTCTTTATAAATATACTTTTTGTTGCCTGTCACCAAGATCCAGGTTATTACTCATTTTTAGAGGGACCCTGCTTAAAATTCATGGGAAAAAAGCACAGTAGGCCACTTAGAGAAAGGTTAGTGTATGTTTGTTTTGTTAGCGACTTGGTCCAATAATACTTGCCATTTTTAGGATCTAAACTCAGAATCTTAATAGTTGACCATCTGAGAGTTACCAGGGCAACAGTTACAGCTTTAAGTACAAACAGCTCATCCTGGGATTTATGTTGCTCAGCCCTTTAGATGTGTAGTTAGGAAGTTTGTGTGGCAGACTCTGGCGTTCTCTCTGGTCGCCTTCCAGCGTGATGACCTCTTCAACTCCCTCCCTTAGACGGGCACTGAGGGGTCCTTCCCCAGAACACCTGCCTCTTTGTTGCTGCAGTTTTTTCCTCTCCTCAGCGGCCTCATTTCCTGTAGGTTGCCAGCCTTGCTCACCACTGGGGTCTTAGGAAGATAGATAATCTTCCTCTCTGGAAGTGAGTGGAAAAGCAAAGGGAAGACCCTGTTACTTTTTACCACTGGCTTCAGAGAAACACTTGCCATTCTTGCTTCATAGCTGGGAGTGGTTTGCATCTTTAATACTTTGATGATGGTATTTAAGTACCACACTTTTTTTTTTTAACATCTTTATTGGAGTCTAATTGCTTTACAATGGTGTGTTAGTTTCTGCTTTATAACAAAGTGAATCAGTTATACATATACGTATGTTCCCATATCTCCTCCCTCTTGCGTCTCCCTCCCACCCTCCCTATCCCACCCCTCTAGGTGGTCACAAAGCACCCAGCTGATCTCCCTGTGCTATGTGGCTGCTTCCCACTAGCTATCTGTTTTACATTTGGTAGTGTATGTATGTCCATGCCACTCTCTCACTTTGTCACAGCTTACCCTTCCCCCTCCCCTTATCCTCAAGTCCATGCTCTAGTAGGTCTGCGTCTTTATTCCTGTCTTACCCCTAGGTACTTCATGACCTTTTTTTTTTCTTTTTCTTAGATTCCATATATATGTGTTAGCATACGGTATTTGTTTTTCTCTTAGGTACCACACTTTATTGTTTATTACTTGAGATGGTATAAAGTCTGAGTTTTTGTTTTGGGTTGGGTATAAATTTTTCTAAGAAATTACTGCTTATCTTTAGAAAATATTCTAATCTGGAAGTGGACTCCTGAGATTCAGAAGGCATTTTGGGGTCTGCTCATCGCTCATGGGTGTTCTCTGCATTTGAAGGCCAAGTCTAAGTGAATGAGGGAGACTGGTGGCCATCAGATTCTCTTGAGCCAGCTTTTATTTCCTACACGTACTGTATGAAGAAAGACTAAAATCTGTAAATACTGTTTACTCTCTCTACAGCTGACTGACAGATTTATTGCTAGGAATCACTGACGCTGTTCATTGTTTCCACAGCTGTTTGAGCTGCTCTCAGAGGACAGTCTAAAGTGGACAGTTTAGTTCACATCAGGTGCATCTTTATAAAGCAAAGATGTTATATATGCTAGACCTGCCCTTTTATATCATATCATACTTCAAACTGGGAGACTCTAGACAAAGTCCGACTTAGTTGTTAGTTCTTGAGGGTTATAAAAGCGGACAGACCTGAAATTACACAGCTTTGACTGCTTATTAAGTGATGAATAAAATGTTTCAGTGGTGCATTGATGGTGAAATAGAATTTGTGTAAGCCATCTGCCACAGCTGCTTGGGTGAAGGGAGTATTGAAGAGTGTCCTCTTCAAGCACACAAACAGCGTTGCCTCCTTAGGTACCCGTAGTGCAGGTCGCTATGGAACAGGCTCCCGGCACAGGCAGTGTTGGTAGATCTGGCTAGGGGGAAGTGTTCCTTATTCTGAAAGACAAACCTGCGTCTATGGGGCCAGGAACAGCTGGTGCAGAGTCAGTGTCAGAGCGTGCAAGTGAGATGCACCTTGAAGAAGACGAGTGAATGGAGACTAATAGTTTCCAAGGCATCCTGCTCACCACTGTGCTGTAGGTGTTTTCTTTCTCACAGGTCTCAGTTTGTGATTGTCTTTGCAGTTCTCTTTGTGACAGTCCTTCACACTCCTCTCAGGTTCCTACAGGCCCTGGTGGACAGAGCGGTGTAGACAGGCAAGCTGTGTTTCACTTTTTATATCGGTTTCTTGTAAGTAAATATATCATGGTATCCAAAGCCCTGGAATTTAACATTCGCATAAGCCATCTCTTTGACAGCAGAGGGAAGGTTAATTACTGTCACCCTAGAGATAAGTTTGGGGTAAAGGTGAGAGCCTGGCCTTACCTTGTCCATCTGCTTACACACTAACGCTAAGCCACTAAGAAGTCTCATCCATATGAAATACTTTATTTTCTTTACTACATAAACTCTGAGTGTGAAGTAAGGGTTACTGAGAATTCAGTAGCATTCAGTACATATTAAAGGGGAAGCTTTCATCAAGTTGTTGTCTTCATATTTAAATTTGGTCTTCCTATTAACAGAATAACTAAAATTTAAGAGTAAACCAAAGGACCAGCAAGAGTGAGTCCCTGTAACCAGAGATGAACAGGATCAACCTGGATGGCTAGATAAACCACTGTTTGTACTAAGAAGTGTTTCCTTCCTGGTGGTGAGGGGCAGGTGACTGGAAAAGAGCTTTATATCCTGTTTGTCCCCCTGTGCTGGTTTCACGGATGTATATTCCACAGGGTAATAAGCTTGACTTGAGTTCCTTGTTTAGTTGTATATTATTTGCACTACTTCAGCAGCATCATGCGCAATCTCTTGACCAAGGCTACTTTTAAATGCTGGTGGAGGATCATTTTCTCCATATTCCCAGCTGCAGAATTGCTATTGCTAATCTCAGCAAAAGTGATGGTTTGCATGGAAAGATCGGTAGCACCGATTAGCGTTCTGACAGTTTGCACTTTTTGAAATGTTTTTTATGTGATTATATTTAAAACTTTAGTAAATTCTGAAATAAAACCATATTGACCAGTTGTCTACTTTTACCTGGCTCATCCATCATAAAGTAAAGAGAGTCAATACAATAACCATTCTCTTCCCCTGTGTACTACTAAAACAAGTTTAAAAAGAGTTTTGGGCAAAGAACTAACGTTCAGGTTCTTTCCCCTTGACTGTTGATTCAAAGTGCGGCGATTATAAGGTAAATATTGAGATGCTCCTTTTGTATCATTGACATCAGCCACTGCTATAGACAGTGGAATCACTTGTGTCAGATAGGGAATCTGGTGTCTAACTTTGGAAATGTTTCAGGTCTCAAATGGAACTTTAAGCACAAAAAACCACGTTCACCGTTAGGAAAAAGATATATTGAAAATATGTTACAGAAATACACAAATCAAGGTCATATTTATAATATAATCACAAAAAGAAAACATAAAATATAATCACAACACAGAGAAAGGCCGTTATAGGTCCTACACCATCAGTTCCGCCGATGTCCGTCATGGTCCATTATACCCTACGGGGAGGGCGGGGCGGGAGGAGACTAACCTGCCCTCCAGACAGCCGGTCTCTGACTACCCTGCCCTGCCTTGGCTGCTTGGCACAGCTGGTGCATTTGGGCAGATCTTCAGTCCTGAGTGGAGGGAGAGCAGCTCGTGAGCACAGTTACACAAGTGAGGTGGAGACAGTGAGTACTGAATCCACGCTCCTGACCAGTTTCTTTTTTATTGTGTTTACTCAGTAATTCAACAAATTATCAAATCGCTTATGTTTACAGTATTCAAAATGGACAGCAGTACTTAGCTGGACTTGAATAAGATATGCACAGTGGTAAATAAGCCAGAACTGGAGATTCTCCTATTTAAGGTGTGATGGAATTGCCACCAGAGAAAGTAAACAGAACTAAAATAATTTAATTGCTCATGCCCTAGATTTTAAGATTTTGAGCTATGGGAAATGGAAATTAAGTTCCGATCATCAACGCTAGCTTCTAGGATAAAGTGGGGCTAAGGTGAAAGCTTCTTTGTGACAGAATCATTCCAAGAACAGTACTGAAGTTAAGTGTAAAAACACTGCAGACCTTGGGATACCAATCTGATGGGCCACATTCATAAGCTGGAAAGACCATGGAAAGATCTCGTTACTGGAATGCGTGGCGAACAGTAGTGAAAAAGGACCTTGAGTCCTCGCGATAAATCCCTGTGAGCCAGGGCAAAACTGCATGATCATGGGGGCTTCTCTCCTCACCTGTACCTCTCAGGAGGTAAAAGGCAGAAATTTTTGTCCTGGGAGTGGTGAGTTAGGAGGGGCTGATTCACCTGTTTTCCAGGAAGGCAGCTCCAGTGTCTAAACATCAAAATGACGAGGGTCGCCAGGCTGCTTTTGCGCGGTGGGAAGAGCAGGGCTGCGCTGCAGTGGTCTGTGGCACTGGGCGTCCGTCAGGGGAGGGTAGTACTGCCTATAGCAGACATAGGCGAACGTCAGGCCGATGGTGGATCCAGCCAGGACATCTGAAGGCAGAGGAGACGGGCCTTCCCTCAGTCACGGTGATGCCACCCAGCAGAGGGAGCTTGGCCCTCCAGGTTACTCTACTTGTTTAGCCTGCAAACCCCCTCAATTCCAGGCTTATGGGGTTTTGGGGTTTTCTTAATTTTATCGTACATTTGCAGGATGTTCTCTAAACACCAAATCAAAACACATGTTTAGTTGGGTAGTTATAACAAGGCTTTTTCTGAGTTCACTGCATTGAATATTTTTAATTGAGAAGAATAATGAAGGTTCACTTAATGCTATCAACAACTCCTTCTCACCATTTAAAGGGTTCTAGAGGAAGGAATAAACTCTTCAGGAGTTGCTTCTCTTTGCAAAAATTTATTCTTTAAAACTGAGCTCCTAAGGTCCTCTGGGCAATACTGTCAGCTTTTTTTTTTTTTTTGAACTGTGGGCTTTCTGTGCAAATATTTGGATATTTTACTCTATCATTCAACTTAAATTTCTTTGGTTTAATTACAATTTTATGTTTTCTTGAATTTTACTTTCGTTTCTGAACAAAAACCTCACGACAGTGAACTTGATTTTTAAGAAAGTAAATTGAATTTTGAGGTTGGGTGTAAAAAATTTCTTATAGAGTTTATTCTGAACTTATGATGCTTCAAAGTCATGGGAAAATCAGAATGTCCCTCATTGGTAATCTGTTTAAAAGATAACAGCGTGCTTTTTCATTTTCCGTGTAGCAATAAACGCATACTCAGTACAGAACGCAGACCATCTTCTGCTCACTTGTCTGTTCATTCAGCAGACACCCAGGGAGCGTCTCCTGTGCCAAGTGCTAGGGAGAAATGATGGGAGAACGGTGGAGGCGTCCATGGCCTGGATGCCTTGCTTACCTTGCCAGTGATGCTTGTAGTCACAGGTGCGGGACAGTGCAATCACAGCTGCAAAGAGTAGGGGTGACAGAAAGGAACAGAACCTCCAAGATTCCCCTCGGCCTCGTGGTGTGAAGCAGTGTAACTTCCCTGCCAGGTAGAAGGACGCGAAGGCCAGACCAGCAAATGCAACTAGAAGAGGGAAAACCTCTAAGTATATGTCTTTTAAAGAAAAAGAGGAGGCTATGTTTTTATCCCTTTTGGTAACTTTTGGTGTAGATCATCGATCTACATCGTCAATTATGAGGGAGAAGGAAACAAAAGGGAAAATGAAGGACCGTTTCCCAAAGTGAGTAACATTTACCCTGGGAATAGTTTTGGAATCCTAGCAATGGGACTTCACTTCCTGATGCGTTAGTTTCCTGATGCATAAATGGGAATCATAAAAACAACAGTACCCATCTCATTGGGCTCTTTATGGTATCAAACGAGACACGAATCTAAAATGCTTTCGGAAGCACCTGACATACAGTAGCTCTTCAATAAAGGTTAGTTAATATTTTTATGACTGGAGCAAGATTGCAGAATTTAGGCAAATAAAACAGTAATAATAAAATGTTCAAATTTCATGAAGGTAAACTACTTCCTCTGTCCTTGAATATTTAATATTCGAGGTTCAAGCTTGTTATTAAAGAAGGGGGCTCTCCGATTTCTAGATGCAAGAACAAGAGTGCATGAAATGTTCCCATCCTCACAAGCTTCCTAGGTTAAATTCAATGATCCCCCAAAAAAGCACAGATATAGAGTCCACGTGGTATTCTTACAGGAAGAATGTCCACTGGGGAAGCTCTTGCGGCCCTCATTCACCACGTCCTCATTTCCTGTGCACGTCAAGTCATGATGGGCTTGCCCGTCGGGGAAGCAACGGTAGAAGAAGTCTGGGCGTGGCCTGCAAGAATAAGCGAGGTATGACGTGGATCATTTCCAGCTCCAGAAATTATTTTCTGGTTGTGTTAGATACCTTTCTTAACTGTCAGTCAAACACTGTCCCAGGCAAAACAGTGAAACGGGATTGGATAGTCACCACTAAGAGAAAAGCCTTATTTCCAGGGTCAGCATTTAAACCAGGAAGGAAAAAAAGCCACTGCGGCACGTAGTTACTTTTTAGGGCAAAGAGTGAGTCGTGCTGCAGCTTCTGGGGGTGCTCTGGAGGACAGCGACTCCGTGTCAGTGGGAAATGCTGTTCAGGGCAGAAGAGAGCCCGAGAGTCACCCAACGGACCGAGGCAGAGGGAAGGGAGGAAGTGTTTGTTAGAAGAGAAAGATCAGACTGAGAATAAAGAGAAAAGGCTACGGGGAAGATGTGGCAGCAGTTGCGTGCGCCTGCCCTCCTGGGGCGAGGGCGGCAGCGCTGGGCACTCACCTCCCCACTATCAGTTTGACTGTGTTGGTGAAGACGCCGTTCAGAGCCAGGGCCAGGCTGGCAGCTGGAAGGCAACGGAAGTGGCTGCTGGTGGCGTCTGCCCAGGAGGAGCGGCCGGGTCCCTGTCTCGTTAGCCGCAGCCGCGGTCTCCGGGGACAGAGGAGCGCTCGGGCTCCAGCCCGAGCGGAGCGTGAGAATAATCCCGCCCCCCGCCGGCCACTCCGCCTTGGCACAGGGAGAACGCGCTACCCGGACTGAGGACTCGTCGGAGCTGCAAATAGTCCGGTGCACGCAGGTGCACCCAGGACGTGGAGCACGTCTCACAGGCAGCAGGCGGGGCACCCCGGAGACGCAGTCACTCGAGGAACGTAGAGCTCGGCCCCCCCCCCCCCCGCCCCGCAAGCCCCGTGGGGGCCCCCGCCTCCTGCTTCCGGCGCTGGGGAGGCCGCGCTTACCCAGGCAGGCCTGCCGGCTGTCCACTGCGTCCGCCTTCTTCAGACACCTGGCCAGGAGGACCGGGGCCAGCGGGGCCAGCAAGGCGACGACCTGCGCCGGACACGGCAGAGCTCAGCACGCGAAAGAAAACAGGGCCGCCCCGAGAACGTCAGACAGCTAGCTGGGAAAAGAGTTCCCACAGCAAGAGGGGTGAAGTGACAGCAGAACTGGCCTATCAGACCTCCCGGCTCCCCCGCAAGTGCCGCGTCCCGGGTCTGCCTGCAGCTAGCTGGGCGCCGAGCTCCCGCGGGAGCCGCCGTCACCGCTCCTCTCAACGACCAGTTGCCCCGGGCCGCCCTGAGCAGCCGCCCCCAGACCCTATCCCTGGAGCCGAAGCGGACGGACTTCTCTCTCAACCTGGCCCTTAACCGTTACGACGCGAAGGCTCGTCTTCAGCTCCGTGGCGGAGCCAGGGGGACCTGCCCGCTCCCTCCCTAGCGTTCGGCTCCGTGAGAAGTGCGGTCAGAAGGGAGGCTGGTTCTCCACGCACAAACATCGGCTTGGTGGCGAAATACTCTGCTTCCACGTACGGATTCCGGTAGAGCCACATCTCCTCGGGCTGGATGAGCCTCTGGAAGGGCGGGAGCAGCTCTGTTACCCTAAAGGGGACACAAAGGTGCGGACGCGTCGGCGGCTTCCCGGAAGCGCGCGCGGAGCCCGGCCGGGCGGCGGGGCCGGGGGCCGGAGCGCAGTCCTTACATGAAGACCGCGAACAGCGCGAGCCGCAGGCCCACCTCCGCCGCCACCTTCTTCCCCATCACGGCGCGCGCGCTCAAGGCTGACGTGGCGACGCCGAGGGAGGGGGGCGCGGGGCGGGGCCGGAGCGGGGGCGGGGCCGAGGCGGGGCGAGAGCGGCCCCCAGCGCCTGAGACAGCGACGGACGAAGTGAGGGGTCGCTCCAGCTGTCTGTCCCCCGCCCGCCCGACGTTGCGTACCTTACAGAAGCCCGGGCCTTCCGTCCCGGGGACCACGCAGACTCCTCGTTTCCGGATCCAAGTCCCCTGAAGCACACCGCGTACTGCGGAAAGACGTGCCGGGCTCCCGCAGGACCTTGCGGGCCTCGCCGGCGCGGTGGACGCGCTGGGTCTTTCGGCCCCGCGCTGGTCCCCTCCCGCTTAGGATGGCCTCTTGCCCACTGAGTGGTAGCAAGAAATTACGGGCAATGAACAAGTCCACATATTTAATTTGCAACATACGGGACAATTTATTGAAGTCAACCTCAAGCAAAATCTGAAATCAGTGGAATGTCATTAAAAACCTTTCCAAATTAATCCTCACGGAAGCAAAAAACACATTTGAATTCCAAAGTATTTGTAAAATAAGAAAGGCAGCATCTCAGTAAATATAATGTACAAAAATTATATGTTCCTACCAGCACACACAGTAGTAAGAAGCTTAAATATTACAGGCAATGCTAATACACCGTAACTAGTCAACACTAAGCTATCTATATACAGGTTAACCAAGCTTTACACGTTTCACACTATGCAATAAAACATAGGCCAATCAACAAAATCCCCAAAATATCATATATCTTGAAGTCTATGTGGCAACATCAAGTCATTATACAGTAATGCCCTAGTGGAATACCCCCAGGGAAAATGAACACTAATCTTTAGTGTCAAGAGCTTCTAGCCAAGTCACAGAAACTCAAAAGAGATTGACTTAGTGAATATTGATGCTTTGTTATTAAAGACTCAAGTCTCAAGGGATTTAGGCAAAAAATAACAGTTCACAGGATCTACAAAGTTTATTACAGATAAAGTACAGAAATAACCAATCTACAAAGGTAATTATCATAGATAAAGATCACGAGGAAATGAGAGCAGAATCTGTAGGTATCTGTGTTTTGTTGTGCAATATCACAAGTGGATACAAATGAATTTCTCCTATCAATTCCAATTATGCACACACCCCTGTATATAAAAAGAACCAGTTGTAGTCATCATTTAGCATCTTGGTTATCAGTGGCAACATGATTTTCTTTCTTTTTTTTTTTAACACAGGGCATGTGACAGCACAAATGAGATAAAGAGCAATATTAGTGACAACAAAGTAAAAGTAAATTTTATCCAGTCCACTTCTAAACTGACAAGTTTGAATCCCTCATTTAGGTCATCTGATGGATACCGAGAGGCATTCACACACATCAGAAGTCTGTGGCAGGTGGGGAAGGGAAACCCGAGGGTGCTTTCTTGCCAAGTAGCAGGTGCAGTGATGTCACATAAGAAAACGAAGGACTGAATAAATGACTTTGGTAACTATTCATCTTTTCCCTTTTTCTTACACATTAATGACTCTGGGACGCCACCAAAGGACAGGTAATTCTCTTCCTCCTTCGTACATATGTGCCACACGAACCTGAACTTGTCACTTAAGCAATGGACTGAAAAGAACGGAAATGGGTTTGAAACACACAGGTTATACCCAGCATTTCAGGAGAGTAACATAAGTGCAAATTTTTGTTTTTTTCCCTACGCAGGCATATATTAAAAGGAAAGAAGAGGTGCTTGGGGATAAGGTTGACAAAATAACAAAACAGAGAACATACATATGAAGTACTCGTATAAATGCTGCTGGTATTTCATGCAGGAGTCTCTTCCCCGAACGTGTGCACTGAATCTGAGAGAACTACTGTGGACACTTCCGTCTGCAGAACTTCGCCTTTAATCCAAGTTCAAGAGGGTAAGAGACAAAACAGTATACAAAACAATGCTTTCTACTTCATAAATCTTAAAATAACTGTAAAATAAGGAGAATCTGAGGAGTTTCAAGTACTTAAAAAACCTGAATTCAATGAGGCAGAGGTCTCAGTGTTAAAGTGGCTACTTCGTACCTGTGGTAAACACTACACCCCCTCCCTTACCCTACTGTAACCCCCTTTCTCCCTGTACCCCACCCCGGATAAATGTCGGTAGATTTCAGTATATACAAATTCCCAACTCTTCCTATTTGTCAATATAGGGCAAAGCTGTCTAATTATATCTATTCCCGAGCCTATCTGGAAAGGGAAGCGAGTTCTACTGTTTGTTTACAAATAACCAGAGACCAATTCTAGGTGGCCTGAGGCCAAAGGAAGTTGTTCCAAGTGATCATGTCTGCAGCAGCTCGGACAATGAGGGGGCTGGACACATCAGCCTTTTAAGAAGTAATTCAAGTCGAATTTGCACTGCACAGCACAAGCAACTTCCCAATGTAGAAGGACATCAAGTGTGAGCTTCCCAAGCTGTCAAGACGCCACGGTAACTTGTTCTCTTATCCTAGTGGGACATGGCATGCGGCGGTACCTTGACTTTAAGGTGAATACTAAAGAAGAGCTTTCTGTTTTAAAATGAAATGAGAGACAAGCAACAAATCCCCGGGAGTCCAGAGACTGCGCTCCACACAGCTGGCCCATCTGTTTCCAAACTGCAGATCTGGGCTGGACCCTGACTGGAACACACCATGCAGCGAGCTACTCAAGGGAAACTCTACTTCCTGAGTCAGGAAAGAAAGGTGTCCAACAGCCGCCCTGTCTGAGTCCTTTCCGCAATCATCTCGTTGTGAGTTTCCCAGCGTTATTCACAGGCGTGCCTCCAAATACTCTGGGGAAATGGCAGCTGGGAGCTGGGAGCAGCCTTCCCCCTGCCTTTTTTTTTTTTTTTTTTTTTTTAGTTTTTAGATGTGTTCCTGATTTGAACACATAGAAATCTCCAAGTTTCAATGATTCTAAAAGTCAGCCTATTTTATAGCTTAGGCCAGAGAATTTCTGAGAATTAGGATAGGGTGGGAACTTGTTAAAAGAAAAATGAAAATAAAACCCACCCCACTCCTAATTCCAGCCCTGATTAGATATTAAAGAAGTGACTCACTCCCTCCAGCTGCTTCTGCCTGGCCTGCCGGGAGCACAGGGCCGTCCACCCCTCCCTTCCCAGCCAGCGGCAGGACTCCTCACGCCCCCTCCGGCGCAGGGCCTGGAAGGCCTCCAGGATTTCACCTCTAGCTCTTACAGATCTGATTTCTGAAGATTTATGCTGATTATCAAAAATCTTACGTTCGCTTCTTCCACCAAAGAACCAACATAAGGTTAAAAAAAATGCCACCGTTATCCCATGCTGCTTTAAGTTATTTCATTTTCGGACAAGAATTAAAACCCAACCATTTATGCTCTGACCACAGACAGATTGAAAAGTTAACAAATAACAACTTCCAGCTATCAGTGAGCAACATGTCTTTTGCAAAATTTCATTGGCGAAGCACAGACAAGCACCCTGCATGGATACTATGCACATATAAAGCACAACTTATTCTTTTTCTGCTTCCATAGCCTGCACCTTTAAAATATACAAACTAGGCAACAGTACGAGGTGTGAGGAGAGCTCCCTGGCACTGCCAGGACTAAAGCCACGTTCCAGACCGTTAAAGGACACTCGCGGACCAAGACCCCATGGCTGTGGTCACCGATGGTGTTTTCCGCCCTGATTTCTGAAATGGCAGAACAACCCTATTAGCCAACCCCCCACCCCCCCCAAATTAAAAAACCTCAGCAGATCTCTGCTACAGATACACAAACAAAATGTGACACAATGAAGAAGCTGCATAAAAATACTTAAACCTAAGGTATTTGTAGTATACAGGATATACCCTGGCTTACCATATAAAAGTCACCAGATATTAAATAGCACTAAGTCCAAAACAAAGCAAGGAGATAAGATTCCATGTTGGATACCGTTTCAACACGAGGTGCATTTCAGATATTAAAGGAAATCCTTCATGTTAGTAAGTTTAAAAAAGCAAACATTTATCATATACATATATAAAATAAAGTTTTAGTATGATAAAACCTAGATTTTCTTAAATTATTTTTTAAAAGGACATCAAACTATATGATTGCTCAAGAGCAAACTTTAGTGTTTTGGTGAGCTGTAATTCACGTGACTTGTAGCAGTCGCATTTGGTAACACATATAGCATTTTCTATCTTGCTCTTTCTTTTGGGACCATATCTAATCAACAGAATTACTGGAGGCCCAATAAGTTACCTCAGAATTATTTGCTGGAATCAGGCAAATGGCAGTTTAGGAGCTTAAGTAAAAGAATTGTAGTGTTTTTTTGTTTGTTTTTTTTAACAAGAAAAAATCCAGTATAATTGCACATTTACATACAAAGAAAAAAAAAAAAGAAGCACAAAACAGGTTTTTTTCTTCTTTTTTCCAGAGAAGAGTTGTAAATTGATAAGGAAAAGGAACACACAGCACAACTGAAGGAATGTTGTGGAGCATCTATCTTCCCTGCCTTTATAAGGTCACTGGGTACTTCCTGAGGGAAAATAAATGCTACCAGGTACCGGCAATTGTTAGCAGTCAAAATTCACAGAGAAGTTGACGTTCATTCAAGCTAAACCTAGGCTTCTACTTAGTACAGTGTTACAACAATGTCTGACAGGACTAATTAATTCATACAGGGAATCCTGGAATATACATATTCCTAAGCATTAAAAGCAAGTGAGTTCTGTGGCAGATATTCCGGTTCACTTGCGTCTATGAGCTCCAACCATTCCTGCTATCACTGCTTTCTGTGGAGCTCTCCCTAAGTGCTTCCTGCCATGAAGTGTGTTTGTGTGGCTCTCATTTACCCTGTAGAAGTACAAGTGCTACCACTTTCACCCCCAAATTAGGAACTGAACAAAAAGATCTATTCAAATACAGTTCAAATTCATTTGTGTAGTTTTCACCAGGACACGTGACTGAGTGGTCAGCTGACAAAGGGAATGTTTGCTTGGGAGAGGAAAGCAGAGACAGAAAATTAAAATGCCCATAATTCTCTCCAAGTCAGACCAGGGTGTACATTAAATTGGATAGAAAATGGTGCTTATTTGACCCAACTTTTGGTCTGTGCCTTTCAACTCCCTTTAGCTGCCTTTACCAGTGTGTCAAGACAACAGGAATGACCATTCTAACTCTGTATTCATATCCACAGAGACACACTTCATCAAAAACACCCATTATCAGTGGAGAACGTTTCAAACTCAGTGAGGGCATCGATTTCTTTTTTTCTCCAGAACAAAAAACCAACAACCACATTATATACCTTTCTAGGTAAAGTTATATCGGAAAGCCCACCTAGTTTAAGACCACAGAGGTAATATTCACTGAGGCCTTTTGATTTCAAGAGGCCAGATTCAATACTCCCACAGAGCCCTTCTCTAAGACTACGAGAGGCGTCTGGAAGGGAAAGCGAAGCCAGCCTCCCTGCTGCTCAGGAAAGCGGTCTGTAAGACCACCATACCCTTTTCTAGAGGGCTTTCTGCAATTCCTACTTAAAACACACACACACACACACACACACACACACAGACACACACACACACAGATTAGACTATCTGAACTACACTTCTCAAAATTTTTAAAAATGAAAATAAATAAAGGAATGATGGCTACTTTTGCTTTTTACACCCAAGGAACACATCCTAGACTTTAAATTTATCTCATTAACAGAACTTCTTCTCTTTGTTCTTATTTTAAAAGCGAAGACATCTCTTTTGCCAGCTGCAAAGGCATTGAAGCACAATAAAAGGCAAGAAAAGACCAAGGGAACCTAACCCTCCACAAAAGAATCCCCAAGCTGACAGGACGAAACTGAAAAACCAGATCCCACCAACGGCTTCTGCCTGCACGGCCTGGTTCCCCATCTTCACTTTAATAGGGCAGCGCTGATGGCCAAGGCTGTATGCACTGCAGCGGTCTCTTCTTGTACTAACGCATTCTCTACTTTTTTCTTTTCCTTTCTTCGTTTCAATAAAAAAAGAAGGAAATCACTGCCCATTTATTCTTTGACTTCTTCTCCATGATCCTGTGATTCCAATTTACATTTGATCTTGCTCCAGTATTCGGGTGACACGGGAGATACAGGGTCATGTTCAGAGCAGCAGAGACGGCCTTCCAGAGCGGAGGACACCAGAGCCCCCTTTTCATGATCTTTGCAAAACGAACGTGGACAGAACTCACAGAAGGACACAGCTGCGCCGCCGCACTCATCGCACTGATGCCACGGGCACTCCCACTTTCCTAGTGTGGGCGGGAAGAAGGGAAGGATCCCAGTGAGTGCCTGTCCCCAACACCCACGAGACACCCCACTTCCCACCTTCCTCTCGGACTGGGGGCTGAATGCAGTTGACTACGACTCCAAACCTCAGCCAGCAGAGGTCTGGGTGCACCTGTCAGTGTGGCTGCGAGCTACTGCCCGAAACTCAGCTAGGAGCCAACTACCACCTGTGGTAATGGACAGTAAGACACCAGTCCTTGCTGGCCCACGGGCGTCCCCCATTTGCACTGAGACAGATTTTTCACTAGCAAAATCTTTGCTTGCTACTGTTGCTTGCTCTTTCCAACGCTTCCCATCCCACGGCTCCACACGGGGGACTAGACCGCCCGTACTCTGAGTCGGGCATGGTGGGCAGAGATGGAGTCGGGCGGGGCCTGCAGGCCGGGCTCACCGTAGGGCGGCTGGGGCAGGTTGAGGCAGAGCAGGTGGTAGGCTTTGGGGCAATCCTTCCTGTCGCACATGACCAGCTCGCCGCTGTCCCCGCACTGGAAGCAGTGATCCTCATGCAGCTGCTTCGGCTCTGTTTTGATTTTTCGTCTCTTCTGCTTCAGCTTAGCGTTTTTTGCCTTTTCTTCAGTTGTGGATGCACATGCCGACTGGCAGGAGAGAGGGGGTCATGGTTTTAACGATCACAGTGCGTGAAGCTTTACGTAAAAGGGAGATCCTACAACCTCACGTTCATTTAAATTCACCTGTTGTTCGGTTACCTAAAACACCAGGAGGGCTTACCCTGTCACGGAACTGTAGTAAAAATAAATCATTTTTCATTGATTTTTTGAATAGGTGTTTTTTTTTTTTCCAAATTGCAAAGACAACTGAGATAGCATACACAAACCATAAAGTTCACCAATTTAAAGTGTATAATTCGGATACACTGAAGTGTATTAGGATAGTGTGAATTTTTTTTGAAGTTTTTGAAAAAGATCTTGCTAAGTTCAAATTCAATCAGAAACACAGACATTTTCAGAACCTAACAGTTCTCACTGAGATATGCTCTAGTGGGAGGTCGGAGTCTAAACTCTGGGTAAACGCAACTGCTGGCCTGCAAATTAAACCAGGTCCCCCTGGCCGGCACCTCCTGAGACAGCCCCAAACAAGCTTCTTCAGCAGCCCCTCCCCAGCCCCAGGGGCGCCCCCTGCAGCCACTGACCTTTGGCCGCACGCCGAGGAAACCACTGCAGTTATCCGCCCCGCAGTGGCACTCCGTCCTGCCATTGCCCAGACAGTCCAGGTTGTAATTAAATGTTAGCTCCATCCCTAGAACACAAGAGAGAGAAGTATTCAGACTCAAGTCCTGGGGGAGAGAAATGCTGTCAAAGACACACCCTCACAACGAAAAAAGAGACATAATTCTGACATGAAGACCCTTCCATCCTCCGTGTTCCACACTGAAGACGGTGATGGGAAAAAGGAAAAAAACAACGAAAAAAACCCAAAAAACTAGAGAAAAACATCCGATCCACCAATGATTAAAACAAAAATATTCTTTTCACTGAAGTGGTCAAAGACCATGTGACAGAGATTAAGAATCTGAAATCTGTGCTCAAGAAAAATGGGTTCTAGTTTAGCTCTCTTTTCTAAAACTAATTTACACTAGTTTCTAAATAAACAAGATGACCGTGGAATTGTCACAGCCATACCATTTCCAGTAATTAATGCCTCACATTATGATCAGAAAAGACTTCAAAATGCACATTTACTACATACACCAAAGACCCAGGGACTCAAACTAGGAGGTCTAAGCTTGCTTTCTTTCGTCTTTTTTTTTTTTTTTTAAATTTGGCCACACCATGCAGCAAATAGCAAATTCAATGTACACAGTCAGTCCCCTGCTTTTTACACATAACAGATTCCTAAGAACGTGTGCCAGAGTTAAACAAGGGACTTCCTGTTATGAAGTGGTTTCTTTCTCAGAAATTAAAAAAATTATATTAAGTACTGAATTAAACCCTGTCTTTTTGCTGTTGCCTTTAAGGACAGATTTCTAGCATTTTAAAGGTTTTTTTGTTTTGTTTTTTTGGCCACACTGCTTGGCTGAAGGATCTTAGCTCCCCAACCAGGGACCAAACCTGGGCGCCCGCAGTGAAAGCACTGAGTCCTAAACACTGGACTGCCAGGGAATTCCCAGTTCAAGCTTTCTTTAGCTGGACCTCAGCAATCCACAGCGAGTGCTAGAAACACAGTTTACATCACTTTTAGCTACAGCATTTCTCTTCCCACCCATTTTTCTACAGACTTAACAAACGAGAAATTAAGTCTTGCTGTTATTGATGCTGGATGGGTAAGGAAAAATGAAAGCAGTAACTCTGCTTTGAGAAGCGTTTTATGTCTAATTTGAAACAGACTGATTTTTCAAACTAAAATACAAAACAAAACAACCTCCCGCAAACAAACGAAGAGACCAGTTGATGGTAACAACTGGTTAATATTTTCTTTAATATTAAAGAAAAAAAAGCTTAAACATTTGGTTACATTATACAGACAGCAATAATTTGGAGAACTAATTCAGTGGGATCATAGACACAGAATTCTGTGATACCCTCTCTTACTACGCTCCCTTTTGCAGGATATAGATGTTTACTTCCTACAGGCAGGTAACAATTCTAAATATAGCTCTTTATCTTATTTGAATAAATACTTGAGTGTCAAAACTTGTCTGACACTTGAGTGTCAGAATGTCCTGCCCTCAAAGACATACTTGCTTTCCGGGGAGGGGGCAGAGTCCCTTTTACCTGCAGGAATGTCACAAAGAGCAAAAAGGCCAACTCGAACGTCTCCATTCACCGTCCACTTCTGCGTTTCACAGTTTGGATTACAACTGTGGTTCATAAAGCGAGAATAATTCCCCTTCGGGCCGGCGTCAATGATACGGTCCTTCAGGGAGAAAAGAAGGGAGAGGTTCCTTTGACATGAAACTGAGCACAAGCGTGTCTGAGAAACATCCAACTCAGGCGAGAGCCGCGAGGCAGCACTGTTTGCCGCCAGCTGAGGTCCGACGACCGACAGCTCCGAAATCGTGCTCGCAGCACAACTGACTGAGTTCTCTACTTTACATGATGACCAAGTCAAAAGCAAGTAAGATGAAGTGGAGTTTAGTTTCTTTTAAAGTTTGTTTCTAGAAACAAACACACCACAGAATAATGCGACTGAGATCAGCTGGCCGCGGGCTTAGCGACAGGCATTTTCTGAGTAGACCGCGCTCAGCTCGGATGCCACTTGTGACGGGAACTATGGTGCTTTGCTGTCAGCCCTCCTTTCCTGCTCTAAGCAAGAAGCAAAGCTTGTAGAGGGGTAGATGGATGAGAGCTTAGGCCATAAAGAGGGAGGCAGGAAAAACAAGAAACTTCTCTGAATGAAGACTTGGAGATCTGACTGATGGAAGGGCTAGAGTTTGGGATATAATCTTCATAGTCTATTTTTACTTACACAAAAGTTCAAAATACCATAAAAAGCTCAACATTTTGGCTCCCTGAATTTAAACTCTGATAGTCTGGGAAAGCTCTAGAAGACGGAGCCTCCCAAGTGCTGTCCAGGTGGCTGCAGGGGTCACCGGCAGCGAGGCTAGGATTTAAGGGGCCAATGAGCAGTCACAAATAAATGGCATTTTATGTATATAAAGTATATGTTCATGAAGGTGGTAAAACTTTCAAACAGTGACATATCAGTTAACACAGTGCTTCTTTTCGATGATTTCTGGTTCTTGTAAGGCTGTTCTGACTCAGTTTTAGAGACAGCCTGGAACACAGGAAACATGGGTACTAGTCTTGGCTCATCATTAAACTGTAACAAGATATCCAACAAATCACTTAGGGCTGGATCTCAGTCTCTCGTCCTCTGTAAATCAGAGGACTGTTTTTTTTTTTTAAATCTTTTATTGAAGTATAGTTTTATTGAAGTATAGTTATTGGTGTACAATATAAGTTACAGATGTACAATATAGTGACTCACAACTTTTAAAGGTTATACTCCAGAGGGCTGTTGAAGAAATTAAATGAAATAGTTGTGCTGTCATGTGCATCAAACAGCACTCGCAGTTACATGTATTAAACCAGAAGTTTTACTGTCATTTTTCTTTTGACAGCATTCATTTTTCCTAACTCATAAAAAAAGTTTAAATATATAGAACAATTTACAGTTAGGATTTTTGCTAAAGCAGAACCTTACTGGTGGTTTATAACTTAGAATTACAGAGCTAATTATCTCCCTTGGGGATAAAGAAACTGAGGGCCAGGTCTTTCAGTGACTAAGAGCTGGGACTCAAATCCAGATGTGTCAACCCTGTTCCTGGTCATCTTCTCACTCACAGCGCGTCTCACATGACCTGTGCAAGGTGCCAGTAATCATTCACTTTTGTACTCTGGTATAACGAGCATATTATAGTGGGACACACACTGGCTACTGCAAACCATTAGAATTTGCTTGAGAAAAACCAAATGAGAGGAAGGAAACTGAGTTTAACCTAAGACCACCAAATTAAACCAAAAAATCCTTTTTTCTTACCAAAAAAAAAAAGCAATTTTACCTTGGTAACAGTTAACATATAAAAATTAGTTACACTGTTCTCGTGGGCTCGCTTGATTCGCAATCTGCATTCTTCCTCATCAATTAATTCGCCAACATATTCATTTACAAATTCACCCTGCAGAGGAGCACGCAATACATAAATGTACAGTCAGTGTATCCTATTAGAAAGCATTCCTTAACACCACATGTATAATCCGAGAATTAACCAAAAACATTCCTGGAAATACAACTATAGTACAAAATAAAACCAGAAAATGGACACTGGTACAATCTACAGGCCTTATTCATATTTCACCGATTTCACAGGCACTCATTTGCGTGTGTTATGTGTGCATGTGTGTGGTTCTATGGGATTCTACCAGGTGTAGAGTCAGGTAACCACCACCACAAGCAAGATACAGAACTGTCCCATCAGCACAGATGCCCTGTGCTTCTCCTTCATAACCACAACCATCCTCCATCCCTAATTTGTTCTCCAACTCTATAGTTCTCCTAAAAATTTATTTTATTGAAGTAGAGTTGATTTACAATGTTGTGTTAATTTCTGCCGTACAGCAAAGTGATTCAGTTATACATATATTCTTTTTTTATATCCTTTTCCATTATGGTTTATCACAGGATATTGGATATAGTTCCCTGTGCGAAAAACAGTAGGACCTTGGCCACCTCTATAGTTGCGTCATTTTGAGAGTGTTCTATAAATGCAATCACAGTATGTAACTTTTAGAGATTGGATTTTTAAAGAAAAACTGAGCCTAATTCCCTTGAGATCCATCTAAGTTGTATGTATTAACAGTTCATTCTTCTGTCACTGGTGAGTGCTGTGCCACAGCAAGGAGGCACCACAGTTTGTGTGACCGGTCACTGGCTGGAGAACATGTGAATGGTCTCCGAGTTTTGGCTATTACAGATAAAGCCGCTGTGAGCACCCTGATAAAGTTTTTGTGCAGACAGAGGTTTTCATTTCTCTGGGATACATGCTGGGTCATATGGTGAGCACATGTTTAATTTTTTAAGAAACTGCTGAACTGCTTTCCGGAGTGGCTGTACCACTGCGCATTCGCACCCTACTCTCCCCAGGTAGGAGAGATGCAGTTTCCCCACTTCCTCACCAACATGTAGTATAGTCCCTATTTCTCATTTTGCTGTTTCTAACAGGTGTGTAGCGATAAGCTCCTTTTTAAATAAGTGTAAACACGGTACATTCAACCCTTCATGTTTACAAATGCATAAGCATTAACCCCTTTACCTCAAAAGCGTGGCTGATTCAGTCTAGGACAACAGCATTAGCTACAGGACTTACTGGTGTTACCAATACATTTTTAAGGTAAAGAAATGTCTTAGGCAGTAAATTAAAATGTATTTGCTTATTGCTTCACCAGACTTGTGTTCCTCCCCCGGCCCCCGACACAAATTCTCACTAGCCGTTCTCATAGCTCTTAGTATCACAGAACTGAGAGTACCAGTCATCTCAAGAGTACTATATTATATTTTCTGATTTTGATGAATAATTAAGAGCATAAGCCAATGTCCTTTCTCTACTGATAAAAAGACAAGATTGTGATTTCTGTGTAAGAGAAGGGCGCCTGTGGGTCAGCCTTTCCCTAGGTGGCCGGCCGGCCGTGGGTGAGATGGGGGAGGAACCCCGCCTGCTTCAGGCAGCCACACGCTCGTTTCAGCTGGGCCTGGTCACCACAAGAGTGCACCTCAGGCTTCTCTCCCCCATTTTAACTGACAGTACAAGCTCTGACAAAGAGTTAGAAAAGAACCGCACTTCATCTCTAACTGCAACACCACGGCAGGACCGCTCTGCACGTTCAGGTACTACGCACTGTGGCCCAGAGTGGCTTTTCCTACACCCAGTTTGGACTTGGACCCCGGCTGCTGAAAACATTCTGCACCTTTGTATGGTATCACCACCCTCACCAGGTAGAAGATTTCATTGCCGTCTTGGCTGCACTGCCACCTAGTGTTCCTTTATTCTATGGCAAGTTTCCTTTAATGAAAACCTACAGAGCAGAATTTAAACCAAATCAGCTCCGCTTCATGTTTTTTTTAACAAATTGGGATTCAAGTTAAGGTTTCATTTGAAGAAAGGGTTCTGTGGCTTGAAAGGCCTGAAAACCATTTATTATAGTTTATATTTACTATTCTATGAAAATTGGTGAATACAGAAAGGTGAAAGTGCTGATATCAAACATGAGGCATGGAAGTCTCGTAAACTCGATACCATTGTGAATAAATGTCTCTAGCTATTTTGTAAAAGAAATACTTTAGGCATCCAAAAAGTGACAAATCTTTAGCCTCAAAGAGTTGCTCACTGGACTTAAAACCATTAACTGTGAATTCAATTATGGATTAAAAATAACAAAATAAAGAACTTTTAGGGAATTCCCTGGTGGTCCTGTGGTTAGGACTCCACACTTTCACTGCTGAGGGCCCAGGTTCAACCCCTCGTTGGGGAACTAAGATCCAGCAAGCCGCGCAGTGTGGCCAAAAAAACCAAAAAAAACCTTTTAAAATGCTAGAAATCTGTCCTTAAAGGCAATGGCAAAAAGGCAGGGTTTAATTCAGTACTTAATATAATTTTTTTAATTTCTAAGAAAGAAACCACATCATAACAGGAAGTCCCTTGTTTAACTCTGGCACACGTTTTTAGGAATTGTTATGTGTGAAAAGAAGGGGACTGACTGTGTACATTCAATTTGCTATTTGGTTTCTGTCCCCTAAGTATACCCAAACCTTCTCCATGTTGCTACAGTCTTTATGATTATGCTGTTCAGTGACTGTATATTTCTAGCTATTTTGTAAAACACCAATTGTCTTAACATTAGCAATTCCTCAAGTGCTAAAGTGCAGAATAATCCTGATTGTATTTTCTTTTCTCTTAATTATATCATTAATTTAGTAAATTAGAATATGGTTTAGAATAAGTGTTATTAAATAAATGTTATTAAAAGATGTTAACATGGTATTAAACTGGATAGATTTCAGGATGGCTCCCCAAACTCCCCTGAAATCATAAGCAAAAATTTGCAAGTGATATGCAGGGCATTAAAGTAATATCAAAACATGTGCATTATATGATGCCATTCTAAACGCAGATGGCCTTTGACCAGGCGACCCAATCCACAAACCCAATGCATTGGCAAATCCCGTTGGCTCTACCTTTAAAATGTCAGAAATCCAACCACTTCCTTCCTACTCAACTACAACCCTAGTTAGTCCAGGCCACCAGCATCTCTCTCCGGGACTGTAATGGTCTCCTTTTTATTGCTCTCTCTCCATGATCATAAATTCCCCACAGTACAGCCCAAGTTATTCTTCTGAAGCCCAGACTCTTAAGGTGGCCCCAGTGACCCCTGCCTGCTGGTGCTCACGCCGTTGTGTAATCCCCTCCCCTGGAGACAGCAGGACCTGTGACTTGCTTCTAAGCAACAGAATGTGGCCCAAGTGACAGGATGTGATTACGTGAGTTTGTTACATTAGGGCTTCAGCATCCATCCTGCTGGAGCGTCTCTTTCCCTCGCTGGCTGTAAGGAAGCAAACAGCCCTGTTGGAGAACCCCATCTGGCAGGGAACTGCAGGAGCCTCTGGAAGCCAAGAGCAGCAAGACAACAATAACCACAAACCCAAACCCAAAACACCTAATGCTCTCAGACCTAGCGCCGTGAAGAACAGAACTGTGCCAGCAGCCGTGCAAGCTGGGAAGCCGGATCCTTCCCTAGTTGAGGCACAAGAATGAGAATCCAGCCAGGTCAGTGCCCTGACCGCAACCTGGTGAGCCCCTACGTAGAGGACCCAGCTATGCACTGACCTATAGGATCTGTGGGATAGTACGCTGTGTGTTATGCTGTAAGTTGCCAAGTCTGTGGTTATCCTGTTAAGCAGCAACAGAAAACCAACACATCGAGGCAGACGGACGCCCTCCCTACTAAACTCCGCCAGAAGTCCCTGTCCCGAGGCCGACGAGGCCCCGCACAACCTGGTCCCGCTGCCCCGCTACCTTGCCACCCGCCCACCTCCCCGGCCCTCCTCTGCTCCCTCTCCAGCTCCCTGCTGTCCTGGCGCAGGAGGGCCTTCACTCCGGCCTGCTCTTCCACGTGCCTGCACGCCCTCCTCGCTCACACGTTCGGGTCAGACCTTCCTGAACCCAGTCCCTGTCACCCCTACCCTCTTTGACAGCTTTGTTTTTCTTGGTGGCATTTGGTGGTAAGTGGCGCCACATGTCTATCATCTGTCCCTGGTGGACTCACAAAGGTGTCCTGCTCACTGCTGTCTTCCAAGTGCCTAGCACAGCCCCAGGCACAGGGAAGCCGCTGAACAAACACGTGCTGAATGAGTGAGCTTCACCCAAGCAATCTGACCTACAGAAACGGATGACAGATGATCAACAGAATGAAAGAATGTGTGTGTGTACACACACACACACACACACACACACACACACATTTATTGGAAAACAGGCTGTGTAAATGATGGTACATTTTACTACGGAATACAATGAGACTATGAAAAACAATGAGGTGAAATCTGTATTATGGCCATAAAAATAATTTTCTGATACATTAAGTGGGAAAAAAGAATAATATGTATGATTATATTGATGTTTAAAAAACCCTACAAATACAGAATATATGAATATGTATTTGCATATGTGTTTATGTGTAGAATTGCATAGAAAATGTTCTAAAAGGCTACATACCAACCTATGGACAATGGTCCTGTCCATTTGAGGGTGAAGGAGGAATTTCACGCTTTATTATCTGTTTTTGTATTGTTTGATTTTCTTTACTACATTATATGGTATTTCTTCATGACAAAGGTGATTTTTTAAAAGGCAGAAAAATGCCAAGAATAATTTTAAATTCCCACTAGGCCTGTCTTCTCTCACTAAACATGGCTCCAAGTTCTATATGTTGGCAGGTGGGGGGAAGGGTGGAGGTGGGGGCTTGTTTTAAAACAGATTGTTCAGGCCTGTCACCAATATTTCAGGTGGCACTGTTTTAACAAGGACCCCGGAAGATTCTCAGGATATCTAAAGGTTGAGAGCCACTGTTTGAATAGCAGGATTTACTGGTGATTTTCAATTTTCTTTGAGCTATTTGCATTAAAATATCTTCTACAATGGACATGTATTTCTCATGTTAAACAAAGAGACTGCTTTGAAAAATTGCTTCAAAGTATAAGAATGAAGATAATTTATAAGTATCAAAGATCTCAACTTTTTCCAGTTGCTTCTGTATATATGATCTAGTTTGAGACTAGCAACAACTCTTAAACATGTAGGGCAGGAATTATGTCCATTTTAGAGATGGAAAAACTGGGGCTCAGCGAGGTTAAGTGACTTGACCAGGGCTTCATGGCTAATGAATTATGATGTTGGAGCAAAGTCCTGGGGTTGCTAGTTTCTGTCTCAGTACGCCCTTAACTTTACTCTTTTTCCTTTACATATTTTAAATCTAGTTTGCTTAACAAGTAAAAATTATTTCAAATAGAATTACCAGTGTCCCTTCTCCTTTTTGACTGATCATAGGAAACCCAAAGGTTATGTGTATTTTATTTTTTTAATTAAAAAATTTTTTAACGTCTTTATTGGAGTATAATTGCTTCACAATGGTGTGTTATGTGTATTTTATTACTACCTCTTTTTACTGCTCCCTCTTTGCTCAAGAAGTGCCAAACTCTCAGCTTCGGAAGTTTCAAAATTCTGGAATAAATCCCCATGTATTTAATCCTTATTGAAGCATTTCTAAGAGGCATAGGTCCTGGTCTGTTCCGCCACTGCCCCCATCCCACGCTACCTTCTTGATGCTCCTTTTGGTCCTGAGGCCCCAGCCTCTCCGCTCCGTCTTGATGATTTCTGCATCCGGGTAGAGCCTCTTGGTGAAGCACTGGTTCTGGCAGCGCTCCCCTGCCGGGCACACCTGCGGGTGACACTCGTACTGCAGCATTCTGTTCAGGCACTCGGACTCCAAGCCACACGGGTTCTCGTCAGCCGGCTTGCAGTTACAGCGGGGAATCTCTGACAGGTCTGCAACCTGGATCTGTACCTTTCCTATCACTTTGTTAGCCTGAACAACAAAATCACAAATGGGAGGGAGGAATTTGAACAGGACACAGGAAACACCCAGGCCCTCTTGGCTCTGCTACTGCCCTGTGGTGTGACCCTGAGAAAGGCTCTTTATCTTGATCATAATTTCCCCATGAATAAGCTAAGACTAATAGCTGTCTCTCCTTAGTTGACAAAAATATCAAAACCTGATGTGAGTTCTCACTTATTTATCCTGTGTATTTCTCCTTCTACCAGTTGATGACAATTTCAAAACTGAAAACCACTGTGGGCTGTCTGGAAGAAAGGGGTTAAATCCCTATATTTTTATTCGGTCACACGGCAAACTGATGGATCAAGAACAGGTTTCCCCATCAAACGTATTTGCTCCTCGGTGTGAGGGGCTCATCAGAGCCCCCATCAACCCAGGGCAGCAACCCCGGCTCCCGGCTGATACTCCAACAGAAGCTCTCAGGTTGTTCTGCAGAAGACTGGGTGGTAATTAGCAAAAGTTTTTATAAGACAACAAGGGCCTCTAACTACTAAGAGAGCAATGCATTTCATCTTGTCTGTCAAAGAGCAATGTTTTCACGGGTAAAGACTCACTTTGATGTGTTTGTAAGGAGGGGGTTTTCTTGAGTTTTTTTCAATCTCTAGTGCTTCTTTACTTTCTCTTTGCGCTTTCAATTCCTGGAAACGTTTTGCAGCTTCTTCCAACGCTGCCAATAAGACCAAACAAAGTATATAAATACCAAAAACCAAATAAACAAAAAACATTAAGAGATTAGTTTTACCCTGCCTTCCCAACACACTGAATCTGGCCGGAGGGTTTCTTTTTAAAATTATATTCTGGAAATAACCATTTACCACCAGGACAGGGTAACACTGAAATAGGATATAACTCCTTTACGGCTGAACACTGTGCCCTGTGCAGGCTGTTGCTTCGGAGGAGAGGTCCCACTTCAATGATCAGAGGTTTCCACGTGGACCAGAGAGCAGCTCTTTACCTCGTACTAGATTTAAATTCACTTTACTCTTACCCAGAAAGCCAAACTTCCTGGCAACTTGTTGCAAAAGCAGCTATAAGGCTCTTCCTGGGAAGCATTTAGTCTTACTATCTTACAAAGGAGCTTCACTTGATTAAGAAGACTATGTATTTCCAGAATAATCTCTATGTTTGTAGTAAGATCACTGAGGGAGCTCCTTTCACGTACACAGCACAGTCTACTACACTGAATGTATTTTTCCAGCTGACTGGATTGTGATGTGGTTCTAATGTAATTGGAAACTTATGGAGGCCGGATCATAACACCTGGTGAAAACTCTCTAACACCAGAAACACATCTTATGCAAGTTAGGAGGTGTGGAGAGATCAACCCAGGGGTGTTAGTTCTGAGCCACTGTGAACGTTGTCCAACGTACCTTTTTTGAAGGTCTTGTTAATACTAGTCTGTCCCTCAGCAAAGCTTTTGTCTCCTTCGACGTAAGGGAACACTCTGCCCTGGTGTACCCAGTAGTAGTCGTGAGAACCGAAGAAGAACACGGGGAAGTCCCCCAGGTCGTGCTTGAGGCCCTGGATGTTGAGTGGCACAGACCGGGGGTTGCAGATCTCCGCTGGCCACCACCTGAAAGCAGGAGGATGAAATCGCACTACGCTTTACGTGGCTGCTGGGAGCCAAAAAACAAAGGTTGTGTACTTCGCAATTTTTATTCAGAATCTAAGGACACAAAATACCTCGCTTATCTTTAATCCTGCCCAAACCACACGTCATTTAACAACACAATGAATGAAATAGTGAACACAGACTAAACAAACTAGGCCCTAAACACCCAATCTAGTTTCTTCCTTAAAAAATTAATATTTGATATTTATAAAAGAATGTATATCATGAAAAGAAAGCATAATAATAAAGTAACAATGAAACCACTATACAACTTAAGAATCAGAATTTACCAATAATATTCCAAACCAGATTTCAGTCCTAGGAAAGTCATGTTTTTCTCCAAATGTGACATTCTTAATACCAAGTCTGTCTTTATTCCTAGTAATCAAGGGCATCATTTGAGAATAAACTGATGCTACAGTAAAGAATGCCCACTCCCATTCAAACTGGTGTTTTCTGACTCTCTAATCAACCAGGATAAATACTTTCTGGTCAAATGTACTAGGTTTATATCAGTGTATATTTCAGAATCTAATTCATCTTAGATCATAATAGATGGGAGATTTGGGACAGGACTGAAAACATAACTCCTTCATGCGACGATGACTGTGTCCACAGCAATCACTGAGGGAACCACCTGTGAGGCTCACTGGACAGTTTCCCACAATTGGGCAAGTCAGGAATTGTAGTATATAAGATCATCGATACCAAGAGTAGATATATACAAACTTAAATTTCTTTCAGTCTCTTATTTATAGATGCCTAATAAAATTGTTTATTTAATGAACAACGACATTACTGAGAAGATAAATGATGGCACGGTCGCATTCCCAGATTTATAGTGCGACCAAGAACACGCTTCACCTAAAAGCACTCCGTGTCCATCTAAGGGTTAATTAAAAACGTGGGTAGAAGTCTGTGCTCAAAGTGTTAAAACAAAACAACACTCTTTTGTGTAATCAGTATTTAGCTCCCCCTCAAAGCAGGCTGGGCGGTGGTCGTATTTCCGAATCGCGTCAAGGCGTGCCGGGAGCTCGCGGTAAGTGCGAGCACTGGCTCAGGTAGACAGAGGCACGCTTTCTGCCAGCCTGGTTCCAGGCACTCACCTCCCCCAGGAAGCTTCACAGCAGAATAACTAGCTATTGAAAAGAAACAGTTTCGTGGGGCCCAGAAAGGCCTGATTGGAAAAAATACATTAAGAATTAGTTCATGGATGTGAGTCTTTGCAAAATGAACAAGAATATGGGCTGCATATGAAACCTCAGGGAGTTGTGAACGGGAGCACTGCTCTGGGCTTCTTTAAAATGTAATGTGATAGCACAGGGGGATGAGCTCGGTGCTTTGCGACCACCTAGAGGGGTGGGAGGGAGACGCAAGAGGGAGGGGATATGGGGGTATAGGTATACGTATAGTTGATTCACTTTATTATATAGCAGAAACGAACACACTATTGCAAAGCAATTATACTCCAATAAAGATGTTAAAAAAATGTAATGTGATTAAAATTTAAGTATTAAAATTAAGTCAAATATATTTTCGTATTCATAAGTTTTTTAAAAAAGGAAATATGTAATGTACGGCACAGTGACTACAGTCACTGCTAAGAGACTATATTTGAAAGCTGCCAAGAGAGCAAACTTTAAAAGTTCTCATCGGAGTTCAGGCTTTTCTGGCACTAGCTGTCCTGAACTCCTAGCTTGGCTCCCTGTCATAAACACTGCACCCTCCTTCACCACACACAAAAAAAGTTCTCATCACAAGAAAAAAAAATGTGTAACTATATATGGTGACGGATGTTAACTAGACTTATTGTGATCGTTTTGCAATACAGACAATGTCGAGTCATCGTGTTGTATACCTGAAACTAATATAATGTCAATTATATTTCAAAAAAAAGGCAAAAAAACTTTTAAAAAGGAAATATTCTGAAATGTGTTTGAAGATCTAAAGGCTCCTTACACTGTTTTAGATATTTCTTATCCAGGAATGTCTTATCTATTATTTGTCAAACCTGCACCCCTCCCCTCCTGGAAAGATATATATTTTTAATTATAAAAGCAATGTGTGCTGGTCAGAATCGCCATCACTAAAAAGTCTACAAATAACAAATGCTGGAAAGGGTGTGGAGAAAAGGGCACCCTCCTACGCTGTTGGTGGGAATGTAAGTTGGTGCAGTCACTATGGAAAACAGCACGGAGGTTCCTCAGAAAACTAAAAATAGAGTTACCATGTGATCCAGCAATCCCACTCCTGGGCATATACCTGGACAAAACTATAATTCAAAAAGATACATGCACCCCTATGTTCACAGCAGCACTATTCACAATAGCCAAGACACAGAAACAACCTAAATGTCCATCGACAGATGAATGAATAAAGAAGAGGTGGTACATATATACAATGGAATACTACTCAGCCATAAAAAAGAATGAAAAATGCCATTTGCAGCAACATGGATGCATCTAGAAATTATCATACTAAGCGAAGAAAGTCAGAAAGAGAAAGACAAATACCATATGATATCACTTATATGTGGAATCTGAAATATGACACAAATGAACCTATCTACAAAACAGAAACAGACTCACAGACATAGAGAACAGACCTGTGGTTGCCAAGGGGGCTGGAGGGGAGGGAGAGGGATGCACTGGGAGTTTGGGATTAGCAGATGCAAACTATTATACATAGGATGAATAAACAACAAGGTCCTATTGTACAGCACAGGGAACTATATCCAATCTCCTGGGATAAACCATAACGGAAAAGAATATAAAAAACAAATGTATATATGTGTATCACTGAGTCAGTTTGCTGTAACAGCAGAAATTAGTACAACACAACACTGTAAATCAACTACACTTCAATAAAAAAAAAGACTATACCTTTAAAATTATTAAATGTAACTTTATGGAAAAAAAAGCAATGTGTGTTTCTTTTAAAAATTAAAACAGTACAGAAATGTATAACAGAAAAACTGAAAATGGCTCCCCCTAATAATCTCATGCCTCAGACTATTAACATTAGATGTTTTTTTTCCAGGTAATAATAAAAACATATTATATCTAGATCTACAGTTTTTAAAAGTTGTATAAACACATGGAGAGATAATGTATATACTGTTTAACATACTTCCTAAAATTAACTATATATTGTGGATACCCTCCCATGTTACTATACGCACCTGCATATTCCTTCTTTTGGCTTCCAGGTATTCTAAAATATGGATACACTACAATTTATCTGACAAATACCCTACTGACTGAACATTTGGATTATTTAAATTTTTGCAATTAGAAATAATACTGCAATGAACACCCCTATAAGTACACTTCTGCCCATTTGTCCAATTCTTTTCCTTAGATAAATTCCCTGAAGGGGAACTACTGGGTCAAAGGGATGCACAGTTACAAGTCTGATACGTGATGCCTTACTTGGACAGGAGCACTTGTCTCCCCATGCCCTCCTGAGCTGCAAAATTATTACTCTTAAACCTTTGCAAGTCTGTTAACTGAAAAATAAACTCTTTGTTTTTAATGTACATTGATTTTTAGTGAGGCTGAGCATTTTTTACATGTCTATTTTCTATTCCTTTGCAAACTGGCTCTTTCTCTTCTTTGCTCCTTTTTCTTTCTTTTTTTTTTTTTTTGCGGTACGCGGGCCTCTCACTGTTGTGGCCTCTCCCGTTGCGGAGCACAGGCTCCGGACACGCAGGCTCAGCGGCCATGGCTCACGGGCCCAGCCACTCCACAGCATGTGGGATCCTCCCGGACCGGGGCACGAACCCGTGTCCCCTGCATCGGCAGGCAGACTCTCAACCACTGTGCCACCAGGGAAGCCCAGCTCCTTTTTCTAGGGAAGGTATTTTCCTTTTCTTACTGAGAGTAGAAGAGTTCCCCTGGTTTGATATTTGCCTTTTAAAACTTTGTATCTTTTGCCATAAAGTATAAAATTATTTATGTATTCAAACTGTCCATTTTTTAAAAAGAGCTTGGAGATTTCCCCGACATATGTTAAAAAAAAATAGCTGGGGGGGAGCTTCTCAATGCCCCTTATCTCAGCTAAAAACTAAGTTTTTAAGGTTAAATAGGTAAGCAAGCAGTGTATTTAAAACAGAGAAAATGACATAGCCCTTGTTAAAAAAAATTACAGTATGTTTGAAATTCTACAGAAACATATTATACTTAGGATTCTAATTGAAAAGCAGAACTCTACTATGTGTGTGTGTTTGTGTTTTTTTTAAACCAAGGATGGACTTACACCGACACATCATAATCACCTAGTTTACCTTCGAATTCACTCTTGGTGTTGTACATTTTATGGGTTTAGACAAATGCATAGTGGCATTTATTCAACATTATAATATTATACAGAGCATTTTCACTGCCTTCAAAGTCCTCTGTGTGTTCTCTTGAATAGTATCTATTTTCTTAGTAAAATTATAAACACATGCCTCAAAATGTAAAATGCAGAGTTTAAAAAAACATCATTATTCCTGTTCACTTAAAGGCTTGTTAAAAACAGGCTTCTTAAAAGGAGGAAGATTTATTAAAATAATGGCAATCACACATACTTCTTGCTTCATTCCCTTAAGATCTAAAGGCTCCTAATGAAATAATCTCTCTCTTTAAATTCTAAAAAGCTCTCTCTTTGCACACAATTTAGAGCTTCTAGCTAGAACTATAATGGACTAGATTTAGGGGTAAAAAGAGCTATTTTGGCCAGGATATAAACTCTTAACTTTATTAGAAATCAGAAATTAATATAAATCTAATTAGAGTGCAAAAAAAAAAATCTTCCCCACTCTCCACATGAAAGCTTTTATTTTAAAATCTATTAGTACCATAATCCATTAGGAAAAAGTAACTTTCAGAACTTAAAAACAAAAGTCAACCAACTCATAAAAAATATCTATCAACCACTAACCTTCCCAGTCTTCTAAAAACCCAGACTCAAACTATGTTTCTTCTCTTTCTGTTTCTAAGGAAGTTGCAGCACTGTGCTGCTTTTTCTACCTATCTCCTAGCCACTTTGTGTACAGGCTATGAACTACTGAACAGTAACTGAATACTTCCTCTTTGTCCTTGGAAAAACTTGCCTGTAATTTCCCAATTTGACCCAAACAATCTGCTTGTAATGTAGTTTCTTGCCAGCTTTACAGTCATTGCAATTCCAGCAGCCTTCTGGCATCTCTATGCTCAGGCACTCCGGGTGGAAGGAAGCCGGGCACGACTCACAGCAGAGCAATCTTCCACCTTGAAACAAACAAACAGTCTTAATAACTGAGAAAAGAGGAAAGAGAGAGAGACAAGAGAGAAAGTTATCTTTTACCTGCATTAAATTTGATTCAGATTGAGGGAAATTAACCAAGGGACTGAGTTATATTTTAGTGATGGATTAAAATACAAAGCAATGAACAGATTTAGCTGAAGTAGCCCTTTCCAGGGAGGGCTTCAGTGGCCAGAAACTCAAAGCCTTTGAGTAGTAGGAAAAACATTACTCTTTATCCCTCTAAAATGTGGGCTACTGAAGTACCAGTTTAGCAGGCAGCTAAGACTATTAACATATGACAAATAGATGCATAAAATCTTTAGACTGAGTAGATTTGAGAACAGATTTTCAGAGAAATATGTAGCAACTCTCTTTTTCTCCTTGAGCGCTAAGAAAGCAAGCAATGGTCATCTTTGTATTTTAATCCAGTGGCACAGTTAACTACATCCCTTTATAACAACATTAGCAAGAATGAAAACAGCCAATAGGTTGACCAGTACTTTTTTCTTCCCATGTAAGAATACAAAAAAGGAAAAGAATCTTGAATTGGTGATTATATTATCATTACCTTTTCAGTGAAGACAAATAAAGTCAAACAGGCTATAAAGCAGTGGTTTGCAACTTTTTCATCACCAAGGATCCCCTTGCCCTTTCTCATGGATCCATATGTTTTCAAATATTTTACCAAACAAAAAACCCACCAAAACCAAAAAACATTTTAAAAGTAACAATTATTTTCTTCTGTTTTAATTAACCAAAGAAATATATAACAGCCGATCAGAGCTTCTGATCCCAATAACAAAACTGGTATTATCACATTAAATTGCTAAAAGCATAGCCAAATATAAAGAAACTCACACCACTGTATTTTACACAAATGTCTGATTCTGTTAGACTTTCTGAACTGTTAAATATAGTTCAGAATTTTGTTTGTAATATTTCCTGATGTCATATTGAGAACCACTGCTTTATAGCATAAACTAAGTAAGTATCAGTGTAGAATCAAGTACCACACACAAGGAGATGCCTCCAAGTACCCTAGCAAAATCCTCTCCTTTTAAATACACAAAACCATCTCTGGATCAAGACCAAAGCAGGTGCGGCAAACAAAACAATACTATTTTTAAATCCAAAAAATTAAAGAGATTTCGGGGAGAAATCTCTTTATTGTTGTATTTTCTCTTTATTGTTGTATTTCAACAAGTGACAGAAAAGAATGTTAACCACTGAAGATGAAATGCAATAAAGACATTTACTGGAAAAAAAAAAAAATCTTTCTTGGAAAACCAAGTCTACAACCCATGAGTGTACTGAGATTTAAAGTCTCATAAGCAAAAGGTTAAGAGCCCTCTATACAACTTTATCAAATCACATGCTCCAACCTTTTGAGGGTTAGCTATCAATTTTCCAGAAAATCTCGTCTTCCTGTAGACTTTCAAACTTCTAACTGATTAACATAAAAACAAAAAGAAAATCCATATACAATCAGTGATGAATTAAATTACTATATTTCCTCTGCTTAAAAGCTTTTACTTCAATCATTGGGATTTTCCCCTTTGTCTGCAGATCTCAATATGGATTAATTGTTCCAATTCTCCAACCTAGAGATTAGCTGCCTGAGTGCTCTTAGCCTAGGTAGGGAATTCTTCTGTAAGTTTAAAGTAAAATGAGATAATTCATTTTTCCATCAGAAAGAAATGACCGATAGGGAGAGCGGTCTTTGCAAATACCTTTAGAGGACAAGTGATTATTAGGGTTGGTGTGGAAAGGTCAGTCTGGCCATTTTTTAACATTATGGAACAGTCCTAAATTTTAAGTCTTATTTCAGAGGAAATACAGACCCTGAATCATCAGTGAAAATCATCACGATTTTTTGACAAAAATACACAAGGGAAATAGAAAAATAAAAATATGAACAATCCACCTTGGTGCTATGCAAGAAAACTGCTTTAGGATGCGAGAGAAGAAAGATATGGTTCAAGCTAAGCAAACAGAGGGCTCAAAATAATTTCAATTCATGTCAAGGTCAATACCGAGTACTGAAAAGAAAGTAAACGACAATTGAATTAGTCTAATTTTATAAAGGCGCCAGCAGGAAAATAAGGCATTTCCTAAAATGCCTCAGGTAGTCTAATTTTATTGCACTATGGAATTAGTCAGACCCATGTCCATCTTTGTTTTGGAAACAGTTGGTATCACCAGTAAGATGCCATACTGTGACTTCAATAGAAAACAGACAAAAGAGTCAACAGTCTCTCCAACCTCCCTCTTCATGGGTTCTAATCAACTTGCTTAGTTATACTTTTTTTTAGTCATGGGTTGCCACTTCAGATGTCTGACAAACAGCAAACATACGTCATCAGCAGGCAACACAAAGCATGAAAAAAAAAAAAAAGAATTGAATTTTCTTTAAAGATTCTGAGCCTGGCCTCAGATCATAATGGCAATGTATACAGGAAAAGGCTTTCACCTTCCAAGTTATTTATTTTACCCTCTGGGATAACTCCCCAAATAATACATTATTGTTAAACCACTTTTTTCCCTTTTATTACATGTAGGCTATATAAAGCAAAACACAAGATTTTTCTTCCATAGATTAAATTAACTTGGAGAATATAAATATACATTTAGCTCTTGGATCTCAGTGGATAAATTATCTATTAGCAATTCTTCAATTCAGCTGGGCTGCCTTTCACTATCCAGTATTTGCAGCATTTTCCCAGCTGCCCCCCAATGTCTCCTAAGAGAAGGGCAACTAGTTTTCATAGCACCATAACAAAAACATTTAAGAAACAAAATGACAGAATGTATTTCAGAATCAAAATTTTAAGTGTCAGTATCTCTGTTTCCCTCTATAACCTGTCTTGTTATTTAGCTGAAAGTTAGTAACAAATTATATCACGTCTATTCTATTCTAACATGAATGATACGGTTCTACATCAGGCAAAAGAGGAAGAGCCCTCAGAACATGCTTCCATATTAAGCAGAATCCTAGTCTTTCAATTTTAATGACTATAGATATATGGAAGGTGTGAAAATTTATTCAAGGAGAAGAGTAAGTAAAAATTTGTCATAATGGAATTATTTTAAGCCCTTTTTAATAATTTTGCAGCCATATGAAGACAGCCACAGCCACCAAGGTAGAATTTACCAAAAGCAACAGATGGTGCTTGACAGGCATACATTTCCCCCCTTCATTTAAAGAGAAAAAATAGGAAATGCAAAAATAAAAGTAAGAGATAAACTATTTTGATTATTACCTTTCTCACATTTCTTTTTGGAAGCTGACGAAGAAGGAATCATAGGTAATTTCATCAACTCTGCACGATTTGATTCGTTCAGTAGGTAGTGGGACTTATAGGCATAGGAACTGAACATGGGGTCTGAATGGTCCTGCACTATCAGCCCTATACGAGACAAACAGAAAGATGTGAGCTGCAATGAAACTACCCATGATTCCGTGAGGAAAAAATAAACCAACACCTACTATGTAGCTGTGCTTAAAGCTGGGGGGGAAAAGAATAGGAAAAGAAAAGATCTGACAGACAAGGCTTTCCATCGTTATTAAAAGGAGTTTAAGCTACTCAAGGCCTTATCCCTATACAGAAACCTATACACCCAGAAAGAAACTCCAATTTAATTTGAGGATGTAAACTGCTTTGACGTCATTCTGAAAACCCCCTCTGGAAAACAAAGCTACATTCCTTAAGGTTTAGAAGTACTATGACGACAACCCAAAGAACAAAATAATGTATCACTTAATTGCTGGAAATAAGAACTGTCTACGTGACACACTAGAGACCCTGGTCACCTTCAATACATCAAGCAGCGCTGAAAGGCAGAATTGGGCTTCTTCTCCTCTGCTCAGATCTTTAGATACCCTCAAATTCCAGCTTTCTCAGCCAGATAATGAAGCTTTTCTCTATCAGTATGATACATGACTTTAGAGAAGATATAAGTTGTTGAAGTTCACTGAGGTAATGCAAACAGTTAAAGTTTTGTCCTCCCATGAAAATAACTGACTTAAACGCTTACCAACTTAAGGGTTTATAAAAACAGTCCTTTCAATCTACCAGTACAGCTGTCCTGTTGGAGGAAAACAGCATCTGCTCTAAACTACCCGTGACACCCACCTTTCCCCTGAGTTAAGTCCATCCTGTAGCTACGGCCACTCCTAAACCCAGGACCTCTGAGACCAGGGGAACTTTCTCTATTTGGTTACTGGTCAAATCATGACCGCAGTTTCATAGAGATCATTTTGAGAAGAGGGAAGAGTTTTGTTTTTAAAGGGGTGACCATTTACTATTTTCTGTGGATTTTATCTTCATTTGATGCTATCCTACACTGAGGCAGATTCAAGAAATACTGATATTTCTCATGTGAATGGAACTTGAAATTGCTAATCGGCAATACATAAGAATTTTCGAATAAAGGTTATACAATGTTGAATGAACATTTCATACATTTAACAGAGAAAAGTGGTGCAATGGCTTTTAAATAAGAAAGAACAACTTAGAATATTAAGTAACTTTTATTTTACACCACCCTCCAGATGAAAGGAAATGCTGAAGAATCTATACTACACTGAAATATAACTGCACACACCCTGTGGCACCATGCGGGGCAGGGGAGGAGGAATGTTTCTCTAAATGCTGAAGCATTTCTAAAAATACTTCCAGATATTTCAGTCCTAAAGATTAGCTTAGGGCTTCCCTGGTGGCAGTGGTTGGGAATCCGTCTGCCAATGCAGGGGATGCAGGTTCATGCCCCGGTCTGGGGGGATCCCACGTGCCATGGAGCAAACGAGCCTGTGCGCCACAACTACTGAAGGCTGCGCGCCTAGAGCCCATGCCCTGCAGTGAGAGAAGCCACTGCAATGAGAAGCCCGCGCAATGCAACGAAGAGTAGCCCCTGCTCGCCACAACTAGAGAGAGCCCGCGTGCAGCAACGAAGACCCAATGCAACCAAAAATAAATAAATAAACTTATTCAAAAAAAAAAAAGAAAAAGAATTAGCTTAATGATTTTAAACAACCAAGAACTAAGACAAAAATCCTCTGTGCGGAGGGAGAAACTGTACGCGACAAGAAACAAAGGCAAAACAAGCTGAATTTTCTAACACCAAAACATAAACAATTGAAGTATCCCTTTTCATGTGTGGATTTATTATAGTTAGATTTCCTTAAAAAAGAAGACCTCTATAAATTCTGGTAAAAGAACACATATCATTTACTTCCGGAGAACTTTTAAGCCCTTCTCAAATCCCAACATCTGATCTATTTAGAATAAGTTTCTGTAAAATGCTGGAAAGGAAAATGAGAGTTTCTGTTTACTGTGCAAAGTTGCAGTTAAAATATTTGGGGATTAAATAATCTTGCTCTTTAAAGAGGCATTTAAATACAGCACATCTTTCAGAATAATTGCCAAATTGATAAGATGCAAACAGCATCCTGTTGTTAAAACATGAGTTTTCCCCTCATTTCCATTATCTCAAGCTTTTAATCAAGGCATATAACTTAAACTTAACAAAATGGTTAGAAGTTTCTCTAAAACTAGGTTCCTTGACAATGGGTCGTTTTCTATCTATCTTAAAGGAAAACACCTGCTTTAAAGGGCACCCAATTATTAAATGAAACAGAGCAAAAGAAAATATTGGTCGATATACTTAACTGATGGTACTTGATTCAGAATATACTCCAAAGTAAGCCAACATGATAGTTTTAAACTTGGTATTTAAAATGTTGGCTCAGTTACTTACACACACACCCACACACACCAACACACCTACACGCCCACACCCCTCCACCCCTCCTAGTAAAAGTGAGTAAAATTGAGTGCCTAGAAGGGTAGAATAAAGTATTTACAAAGTGATGGACTTTATGTTATCACTGACACTCATCTATTTGAAAGTCTCTAAAGCTAGTCATTCAGTTGATAATTCAGTATTCTCATCCTAGCATTATTTTCTTAGGAGTGGAGAGATGGAAAAGGCACGTGACTTTTTATTTCTTTGGCTAATACAGTGTGGCAGGAAACACTTCAGACCTTCTTCCCCCGTGCCATCCAGACTTCAGAGCAGGACGCAGCTGTCGTCACTACTCTACACAACACTTCCTTCTACCTGCAGACCGCCCCGTGCACTTCCAAACTGAAAAACTCAAAGCAGTGTGTACAATGGACCCAGGAGGCTGCCATGGAAAGGACTACCACTTACTTAATCTTGTACCGTCCACCCCCTCTGGTTATTTTTCTTTTTTTTAATGAGAGTTTCAAAAGCAAAACAACTCAAGATCTATCATACTAGCTAAATTCTATTAAAAATACTCTATAGTACTTTCACCAAATTAAAAGAACTGTCTCCTAAGGCAAAAAAACAAAAACAGGAACTTCCCTGGTGGCGCAGTGGTTAAGAATCTGCCTGCCAGTGCAGGGGACACGGGTTCAAGCCCTGGTCCAAGAAGATCCCACATGCCGCGGAGCAACTCAGCCCATGCACCACAACTACTGAGCCTGCGCTCTAGAGCCCAGGAGCCACAGCTACTGAGCCCCCGTGCCACAACTACTGAAGCCCGCATGCCTGGAGCCCATGCTCCGCAACAGGAGAAGCCACCATGATGAGAAGCCCACGCACCGCAATGAACAGTAGCCCTCGCTCGCTGTAACTAGAGAAGGCCCGTGCGTGCAGCAAAGACGACCCGAAGTGGCCAAAAATAATAAAAAAAAAAAAGATAAATAAATTAATAAAAAAACAAACAAAAAAAACAAAAACAAATAAAAAACAAAACATGATCCAAAACTTCATTTTCAGTATGGGCTAAATATAATCTAACAGGCCTGATATGCCACACAGTCCTTTCAAATATTTCACACTAAGGGAAGTTTAGAAAACTTAGCACTTATGAGTAAACAAAACAAAAAAAATGCACTTGGGGATATTAGTTGTTTCTAAAATGCTTACTAAACACTAAAAATTCTTTTATTATAATATAGCTGAGACGCTCTGTAAAGTTAGGTACTCTGTATCACATTCAACTGAAGAAGTTCTACTTTATATTTATTACGAACTCAAGTTCACTGATGCCCTCAGGGACGCAATATTGTTTTGAAGCGATCAATCTTAAGTGGCAGACTTAAATATCAACAGCTGGCAAGTAAGAAAGCCTGTACTGCAGGCTCTTAACTAATACACCACATATGTTGCCTTGGCTGTATTCCACCAGGTCTTCCTCAATGCCAGACCAAAACATGATAAAATACAACATAAACAGTTAAAAAATAAATGTGCTCTTCTTGCCTTCCAAGTGAAATCTCAATTAGTTGAAAACTCTGGATTAAAGAATATGACATGGGAAGAGTCTACTTCGAATAGAAGAACTGTTTGCACAAGGGAAGAGAGCTGATCCTTGAACAATGCCGCGGTCAGGTGTGTGGACCGCCACGCAGTTGGAATCCCCTGTAACTTTAAGTTGCCCCCCCCACCACCTGCGGATTCCACCAACCTTCAATCATGTAGTACTGGAGTACGCCACTGAGAAAAATGCGCACAGAGTGGATCTGCGCAGCTCAAACCCATGTGGTTCAAGGGTCAAGTGTAGATTAATCTTTTGATGCTCCAAACAGGAACACTAAGAACTCATTTATAATTCTAAGTTACTAAACAGATGTAGATTTTAGCTTAATTTATGGAAGAATTAATATTCTAACAGTTTGAGTGTCTAATGTTATAAAAGGGACGAGTTACTGGAAGTGTTAATCTCTCTCAGGGATTTTACTGAAACTCGATTTTAATGGGGGAAATATGCCAATGAACCCAGAAAGACATAAAGAGAAAGGGCTGACACTCACCTCTTGCACAAACGAAACAAAAGCCTACATTTACAGCAGAGGAAGAGTTACTGCTCCGTTTGGAATGATTACTACAGATGAGAACGTAGGAAGACACAAATATGCTGCCGGCAGCAATGCAAGCATCTCCAGAGTGGTAGGCTACTGGGCACCTCAAACATCTCATCATGCGACCTGTTGAAAGACAATCAAAAAGGAATCTATGTAAGAAAGAATCAGCTGATATAAAATGAGATCTTTTGGGATCCAATGTGATGCTGGTTACAGTAATACAAAAATCTTTTTCTTCCCTAGTTTGACTCTGCTGTTTCTGTGCTGTATGGCCCCTAAATGCAGTGCTCATCAGGAGGTCACTCAAAGAAAAATGTGTCTGTGCCAGTGCTGGAGAGATGCTGGTCTCCAATATGGCACCCGTTTAAGGAATGTTCAAGGGTAATTTTGAACATATGGAATTTTCTTCCCATGGTCTAAATTAGAACCTAGAATCCACTTACCTTACTATCTTTTGTGGCTGAGCTGTAATAGCTATAGATAAACAGAGGGAAAATGCCTGATGTTCTTTATAATAATGTGCTTACTGTTTGCTACTGAACTTACAAAAAAAAACAACTGTCCCCTTCCTTAGCTCTGTTTTTACCTTTACTTGCTTTGTGGATATCTTTCTCCATACAGCAGGCAGAGCAGCAGTGCTGGGGACAGCGGAATCCTTTTGATTCAAAGATGGCAGTGGGGAATTTGCGGACACAGGCTTCATGGTAAAATTTCCCACAAGCACCAACAGAGCAACGCTTCACGTCTGTACCAGACACTTTACATGAAAAACACGGGTGCTCTCCTGGAATATTGGTGAGGAACACAGATTAAATAAAATCTGATTAAAGCATATTCCTTTTAAACAGAAGCAGTCACTGACACCGAAGAGCTAATCCCCAAAGATTCTACTATTGTGTGTAAGATTTTTAACATACAAAAAAGGCACTGAAAATAGTTAAATTAAAATATGACTTAATAAAACTTGCTAGAATAATTGATTTGCTACAATAATTGATCGTCAATTTGAGGATATAGCACCAAGAACAATTTAGATCTCCACTTCTCACTTTATACTGAAATTCCATGGAAAATCTAGAACAGAATTTTCAACACCTGGCAGCTGAGAGTGGCAAGGTCTTCCCAACATAGAATAAAGAAATTACCAATAAAAAGGCAGATTCCATTAGATAATCACAATTTCCATTTGTAAAACAGACATAAAATGAAAACTCATAATCCTAATAAAAACAGAAAGTTATATCTACACATCTTATTCAAACTGTAGAAAATCAAGGACAAAGAGAAAATATTAAAATCACCCACAGAAAAAGACAATTACCTTCAAAGGAGCAAGACTGCTGACTGAAAGAGAAAGATGGAAGCCAGAAAACAGGGGATGCTATCAGTAAGGGCTCAAAGAAAACTGTCACCAGCCAGAATTCTACGCCCAGTGAATGTACTTTTTTTCTTTTTTTTTGCGGTACGCGGGCCTCTCTCTGTTGTGGCCTCTCCCGTTGCAGAGCACAGGCTCCGGACGCGCAGGCTCAGCGGCCATGGCTCACGGGCCCAGCCGCTCTGTGGCATGTGGGATCTTCCCAGACCGGGGCATGAACCCACGTCCCCTGCATCAGCAGGCAGACTCTCAACCACTGCGTCACCAGGGAAGCCCTGAATGTACACTTCAAGATGGAAGTGAAGTCAATACACACTGGGGAGAATTAATAAAACCAAAACTTGTTTCTTTGAAAAAGGTTAATAAACTGATATCCCTGGAAACAAGTAACTAATAAAAAAAGGGAAAAAAAACAACGTTAACATCAGAAATGAAAAATGATACATCACTACAAATCCTACAGTTGTTTAAAAAATAATAAAAGGACATCACTATATTTTTGCCAATAAATTTGAAAATTTAGATAAATCAACAGATTCCTAGAAAAACAGAACTTACCAACACTGGCACAAAAATATTAAATAGAAAAAATGACAGTTCTATAATCTATTTAAGAAATTGAAACTATAATTAGAAACCTTCCAACACTAGAAACCTTCCAACCAGTGGAGCCCAGGTGGCTCCACTGCTCAACTGCCAAACATGTTAAGAAAGAAACAATTAGAATAGAAAAGAAAAAAAAAAGGAACAAGTGAAAAACAGATGTAGAAAAATAAATGCAACAAGGATGACAAAGGATTATGTTTTGTTATATAAAGAGTTCACATATGATGTTATCACTTATATGTAGAATCTAAAAAATAAAACAAATTAATGAAAATAACAAAACAGGGACTTCCCTGGTGGCGCAGTGGTTAAGAATCCACCGGCCAGGGCTTCCCTGGTGGCGCAGTGGTTGAGAGTCCGCCTGCCGATGCAGGGGACACGGGTTCGTGCCCCCGTCCAGGAGGATCCCACATGCCGCAGAGGGGCTGGGCCTGTGAGCTATGGCCGCTGAGCCTGCGCGTCCGGAGCCTGTGCTCCGCAGCGGGAGGGGCCACGACAGTGAGAGGTCCATGTACCGCAAAAAAAAAAAAAAAAGGAATCCACCGGCCAATGCAGGGGACACGGGTTTGAGCCCTGGTCCAGGAAGATCCCACATGCCGTGGAACAACTAAGCCTGTGCGCCATAACTACTGAGTCTGCGCTCGAGAGCCCGCGAGCCACAACTACTGAGCCTGCGTGCTGCAAATACTGAAGCCTGCACGTCTAGATCCCATGAGCCACAACTACTGAGCCCACGTGCCACAACTACTGAAGCCTGCATGGCTAGAGCCCGTGCTCTGCAACGAGAAGCCACCACAATGGGAAGCCCGCGCACCGCAACGAAGGGTAGCCTCCGCGCACCGCACCTAGAGAAAAGCCTGCGCACAGCAATGAAGATGCAACCCAGCCAAAAAATAAATAAATAAAATCTTTTTAAAAAAAAGGAAATAACTAAACAGTCTCACAGATACAGAGAACAACCTAATGGTTACCAGTGGGGAGAGGAATGGGGGGAGGGGCACTAGATAGGGGCAGGGGATTAAGAGGTACAAACTACTATACATAATAAAATAGGTAAGATACAAGAGTATATTGTACAGCACAGGAAATACAGCCAATATTTTATAACAACTTTAAAAGTAATATAATCGATATTGAATCATTATGTTGTACACCTGAAACTAATATAATATTATAAACCAACTATACTTTAACCAATTAATCAATACAAAATAAAGCAGAATCATGGGGGAAAAAAGAGTTCACATATGGAGAAAATATATGTAACATATACAAGAAAAGATAAGAAGACTTATAAAGAACTATAAATCAATATAGAAATGGCCTAATATAAAAGTGGACGACTAGTATGAACAGGAAATTGACAGAAAGCAGAAAGACAGATAGCCAATAAACATATGCCAAAATGCTCAACTTTGCTAGTAATCAGATAAATACTAACTAAAACCACAAGTAACATTTTAAAAATTCATCAAATAGGAAAAAACTTAGAATCTCATAATACCCATCATTGATCAGGGCGTGGGGAAACGGGCACTCTTATGTACTGCTGGTAGGAGTTTAAGTTGGAAGGAACTGTCTTCGAAGGCAACAGGGCAGTATCCATTCTAAAAGGAGACATTAACTTCCTGTGGCCTAGAAATTCTATAATACTCCTTGCTGTCTGTGTTAGAGGGGAGACTTGTACATATAAAAGGATGTCGACTGAAGCATTGTTTGCATCCACATACGACTGAAAGTTGTAATTATCTGCCTTTTAAAATTAGGATGAGCGTTTTCCTTTTGTGTCTGTGTTACATATGGAAATCATAAGTGACTATTTATTTGGATATCATCTTTTGGGAAGTGTTCAAGTCTTTTGCCCATTTTTCTTATGATGCTATAAAATTCTGAAAGACAAAAAATACAAGGAATAGTTTTTTGTTTTAATTTTTTACAGAAAGTTATATTTGGTTTTGGAAGTACCTAACCATTACAAACTGGCTAAGTCATAAAACTTTAAAATCAGGACTTAAAACTGTGATATTCAAATTTTTGTTGTTGTTAACTGGCTTTGTTGTAGAAATAAAATAGAGCAGTGTTAAACTGGCTGAATTATAAAAATTCTTTAAAATTAGTACTTACAACTGTGATGTTCAAATTTTTTGTTTGTTTGGCTTCGTTATACAAATAAAACAGAGTACAGCAGGGTTATTTTTGTTGTTGATGTCCTGTTGCATATATATAATTTCAAACTATATTTTAACATATTGGTAGATCTGAAAGCAATAGTACTGTTTTGTTTTGTTTTTTAAATAAATTTATTTATTTATTTATTTTTGGCTGCATCGGGTCTTTGTTGCTGCACACAGGATTTCTTTAGTTGTGGCGAGCGGGGGCTACTCTTTGTTGCAGTGCATGGGTTTCTCATTGCTGTGGCTTCTCTTGCTGCGGAGCACGGGCTCTAGGCATGTGGGCTTCAGTAGTTGTGACGCACGGGCTCAGCTGCTCCGCGGCATGTGGGATCTTCCCGGACCAGGGCTCGAACCCGTGTGCCCTGCATTGGCAGGCGGATTCTGAACCACTGTGCCACCAGGGAAGGCCAATAGTACTGTTTTTAAAAATTTTTAGGGCTTCCCTGGTGGCGCAGTGGTTCAGAATCCGCCTGCCAATGCAGGGCACACGGGTTCGAGCCCTGGTCCGGGAAGATCCCACATGCCGCAGAGCAGCTGAGCCCGTGCGTCACAACTACTGAACCCGTGCACTGCAACGACTGAAGCCCGGGGGCCTAGAGCCCATGCTCCGCAACAAGAGAAGCCACCGCAACGAGAAGCCTGCGCACCACAACGAAGAGTAGCCCCCGCTCACCACAACTAGAGAAAGCCCGTGCGCAGCAACAAAGACCCAATGCAGCCAAAAATAAATAAATAAAATAAATATTTTCTTAAAAACCATAAAAAAATAAAATAACTTTTAGAAATTTTAAAAATTAAAAGAAAATTATTTTAAAGTTTAAAAGGTGTGACTTTACCTAATGCATAAACTGCCCTACGTAAAAATGAAACAGGCTTTCACTTGCATAATTATCAAAGTAAGTCTAACATAAATGAAAATTGTTGTAATTAGTGGTACCGTCACACTAACAGAGCTGACTGAGCTATAAACCCCTGTGAGACTTACGTTTAGAGCTCCAGCATGGGCACACTTCCACTACCCTCCCCTCCTCACTAGCACATGGTCTTCCTTTAGACTAAGAAAGTAATAAGTAAAATTCCCTGTTACACATTTTATTCAAAAGGGCAAATGAAAATGCTTTCTTTCCAGAAGTCACATTTGTCTTAAACAACAGAAAGTGGCAGTATAAGAACTTATCGGGCATGTATCCTGTAATACTTTTTACATGTGAAGTGTTTTATCTTTTGATAAACAAAAAAAGACTGTGTAAATGATCTTAAACAATGGTTTGAAGAATCTGAGTTTTCACTCCTAGTATGTTGGTAGTGTACCACATTGGTATCAAACTGATTTTCATGTGATAGTAAATATATCAAAAGCAGTTTGAAAAACAATTACTTTTGTGGTTTTGATTTGCATTTCCTGGATTACTAATGATGTTGAACGTTTTTTCATGTCTTACTAGCCATTTGTGTATTTCTTTGGAGAAATGTCTCTTCAAGTCCTTTGCCCAATTTTGAATTGGGTTATTTGGGGGTTTTTGGTGTTTTCTTCTAAGAGCTTTATAGTTTCAGTTCTTATGTTTTGGTTTTTGATCCATTTTGAATTAATTTTTGTGTATGGTATAAGGTAAGGGTCCAACTTCTTTTGCATGTGGATCTAATTTTCCCAGCACCATTTATTGAAAAGACTATCCTTTCCCCATTGAACAGTGTTTGCACCCTTGTTAAAAAATCATTTGACCATATATGTGAGTTTATTTCTGGGCTCCCTATTCTATTCCATTGGTTTATATGCCTTTATGCCAGTACCACACTGCTTTAATTACTGTAGCTTTGTAGTAAATTTTGAAATCAGGAAGTGTGAGTCCTCCAACTTTGTTCTACTTAATTGTTTTTAAAGCAAATTTCCTCCTTAAATTTTCTGTTAGTTGTGTACCCAATTAGATTATATCGAACCTTTGTTGGCAGAATTCTGCTGGATTCTATAGTTAGAGGAGAAGCCCTAAGAGTGTTTTAATACTTAGATACATGGTCCTTCCTATCAGTAACTTATCAGGCTGCAAATCTGAATGCTTAATGGGGCCAGGCAGATTACATCAATGACTGAGTGACAGGGTTTTAGAAAAAGTGTCTGGTAGGGAATATGGGGAACAAGGAGTATGTGCCTGATCCAAGTTAACACATTCAAAACTCGTTCTGAGGGCCAAATAAAACACTGTGCAGATAATCTGACCCTGAGGCTGCCAGCTGGCAGACTGTTCAAAAGCTTTACTGCAGAGTCTAAATGTGATAAATAAAATGATATTTTACATAGGGAAAAAATATAAGTTATTTGTTTAAAACAGCTTGTGTAGCTTAATTTTTGCCTGTGTATGTAGGTGAGTGTGTGTGTGTCTGTGGTCAGGATATGTGCTATGTGATTCCCATCCTACTAAGTCAAGGTGGCAGAAGGCAACAGTAAAGGGCAAGGACTCTGGGGTCAAGCTCTGCCTCCTGGGCCTGAACCCCAGTTTCACCATGTGTGTCTCTGTGACTCTGGGCAAGGCTGGAAAACAAACTCTCTAATCCTCAGTTTCACATTCTGTAAAATGGAAATAATAATAGTATCTATCTCATAATGTAGTGAGGAGCAAATGAGATAAGAAGATAAAACGCTCAGTACTAAGAGCACCTGGCATTTAGAAAGTATCTGGTTAAAAACAAAGTTACTGTTCTAATGGAATCTAGAACATACAAAGGATTTTTGGAGGCCTACGAGTAAAAAAGAATAAAATAAGTATCTATGAGAATCCAAATAATGGGAGGAAAGGAGTAGGAAAATAATAAGGTACAAAGGTAAGGTCAGCATATCGTAAATACTCGACATCCAATTGGCTCACAGCTTCTCACAGCAAAACCAAAACAAAACCCACAAAAACATGTGAACATGGTTCCTAGAAGCACTACCAGGTCATCTCCAGGTGACTTTTCACTTACCTTATTGGTACAAATTAAACAATTCTATTTTCTGCTTTCCATGACTTAACTAGAATCATGGCTACACAGAGAAGAAATATAAACTTACATATTTCTTTCTCTGTAAGTTATTTTGACAGGTGGCAGTCTATACATGGGGTACAAGAGATAAATGATGACTCCAAAACCCCCATGTTTTAAAAACAATTTCTGATAGTGCCATCTTTCCACTAAAAATACAATCCCCATGGTTATAGTCTGTGACGGACACTTATTCTGGTCTATAAAGTCAAGGGATTTTAGATCAATTTATTGAGCACAAAAATCTCAAACCCACCTGAAAAATAATTCACTCTACAAACTTTGTATAGCTCTTTAGATAAAACATAAATACATCTCGATGATTTGACAGATTTTATGGTAAAGGCACTAGTGGGAGGAGATCTGACAATAATATTACAAACTGCTCTTTAGATGTCAGGAAGCCTAATCACTGGATGGTCTTAATTTGTTGGAATAGCTATGGGAGAGGAGATACGAGCTACATAAACATGGTAAGAGAGTGTGATGTCATGGAAGATGCGGGCACTGCACTTTCTCCACCCTCACCCCCATCTTCTCACATCTACCAGGACGCTCACCAGTTTTACATTCGACGCAGATGAACTTTCCATCAGGGAATGATGTCAGTCCCAGGCACTCCAGGTGGAAGTGTTTGCAGCACTCTCCCTCGCAAGGAATCAGAGAATCCCCAGAGCTTTCACAGATCTGTAACATGGCAAAAAAACCCCAGCTGTGCTCAAACTGTAGCAGGCATCAGGACCACTGGGGGGGTCTGTTAAGACACAGATTACTGGGTCCACAGTTTCTGATTCAGCGGGTCTCGGGTGGGGCTCGAGAATCTGCATTTCCAATAAGCACCCTGACAATGCCAATGCTGCTGGTCCTCGGCCCTCCCTTTGAGAACCGCTGAACCAGATAACTATTTCCAGACCCAATATGTATAAAGTTTAAAAGTCATACTTGATCTTTTATGATTCCTTCTTTGGAATCTGCATACTTTAACTCTTCTTCAGAGTGCAAAGCAGTATTTTTCAAAAAGGGTAAATATACATTAAAAACTTTAATACCAATTTCAATCTGAGAAGATGTTTTTGAAGTCAGCCATCTGCCATTTACTTCCAATTAATAAGGGAGCATCACAGTGAAGACTGGCACTTACACGTGAATAGTAAGTATTCCAACTCCGAAAGGGAAGAAAAGAGCCTGAAGTGGCTTGTAGATCTGTAGCTTGAAAGCAGTATCATAACTTAGAAAGATACTAACCTCTCAAACAGGAGGGAAGTGTATTACTGGCAGGATATTACAGCCTTTGTTTCAAGCTGCAGGACAGGTTGCCTGCCTACCTGACATACAGTGTCCTTCCTACTCATTCCAGTGCCTCTTCTTGACAAACTTGAGTCCACGGACTGCACATCAGAAACATCTGCATCTGCAGTAGCTGAAGGGCTATCGACTTGCTTTCCAAAGCCTACCTACATGGAAAACAGAACACATTTTTAAGAAAAACAAAAGTTTCCTCAAAATTAGGTGCTATGAAAATCCTAGTTAAGACTTGCTCAAAGAAACCTTCACACAACCTCTTCCTCCCTTCTAAAACCCCTGGATACCCAATGTCTGGTGTTTTGAGAGAAACTGTTACAATTAAAAAACTACGCTCCTGTTATGTAAGAGACCCGTAAGTTACAAAATGACCAAAATGATTTCTTTTCTACCAGCATTTAAAAAAAAATTCCCTGTTCTCACCGAGAAAGTCAGGCAAAGCATTACTTGGTTGCTTGGTCTGGCAAAGCGAGACAACACTGCGCCCAGGCCCTGGGACATATTTACCTGCAGGTCACTCAGTCCTCTGGAATCGGAGTCAGACGTGTCTCTGTACGTGGAACTAGCCATTTCTACATCAGTTGAGGCGCGGCTCCTTTTCTTTAGAGGTTTACAGGAATCTGAAATCTCGCTGGCACCTTAATACAACACACCGAAATTAATCCTAAAATAGTACTTAAAGTTTGTTGTTTTAATTTTTTTGTGGGAGAATATTTTCTTTCCCCAAACTCATCTGTAGTGTGAAAAAAAGCATAGCTCTCTTTGTAACACTGAAGTCACGAGTCAAAATTTCATAAGCTTCTGACCTTCCTGATGGTGAGTGATGTAATTTACAACCGCTCTATTAAAACACTCAATTCCGTGCTCCTGCTCTAAAGCTATTTTCGGGCAACAGAGCCCAAGTTCCAACCTAAAAACCAATTCTATCAAAACTGCAGGACAGCTGATCGATTTGGAGCAATCCAAAGAACCATTCAATTTGGAGGGGGAAGACATAAAACCCAACACACTGTGTAGCTTACAAATATGGTCGCAGAGACACCTCCATCTTGTTTTTATTAGGGATGTGACAAATCTTTGATTTGTATTCGATTCGTACACGGATAGTGCCATTTTCCCCCGAATTTTGCAATTCAGTTGATTATTGCCCCCCAGATAAATCCTGGATGTTCACAATTGTTCATCTGAGACTTCCTGGGTGAAGGGCATTTACTGTGACCATTACAAGTGTTGCAGCACAGCTACATACGTCATGCCATCTAGGAGGCACAGTGCTGAGGGCTGTAAACAGACAATGTTCAAGTGCAGCCAAATCACGAAGAGCTGGATGAGAGGCCTCTGTGTGGACTTGGTGAGGGAAGGAATAAATATGAAAAAAAAAAAAAAAGGCAGAGAATAGTGTGGAATTTTTTTTTTAAAACGGTGTGTAATACAAATCCAGCCAAAACAATAGTGCAAAAAGTTACAAAGCAACAATCTCTTGGGCTAATGCAGTATAGGCTATACAGAAACAGCCACGATGAAATGTGCAGATCAGGCACGGTGAATACCAAGGAACCAAGGAGACGGTTAATATTTCAACCCACAGTTTGTGTTTTAGATTTTTTTTTTCCCCCAAAATTTCCATACAACAAACAGACATCTAGATCAGCCCAGCAAGCTATGGTGGAAGTGTGCAGTCCAGAAGAGACCATGGAGAAACAGGTCTCCCGAGGCCATGAAGATCCGCAAAGGCTGAGCGGGAACAGCACTTGGTGTGCGGCACGGTCTGTGCAGGAGGATGTGGACCTCGTTAGACTGCTCAGGTTACTGGAACCTCGTTATCACATCCCATCCTACAAGGTTTTCACTGAATGTTTCCTTACATCTACAAATGAGGGTGCCTGCCCGTGTTAACGCTGATTAAAAAACACAAGTACACAAATCTATCTCCTTCATTGCTGGTGTATGGACCCAGAACACCACCACAAAATATTTCCTTGGCCTAAAAGATCACTGGATTAACAAGGAGTTTTAACAGAGGAACAGGAGTGCTGTACTGAGAGGCTTTCGAAGGGAAACACAGGTACCGCCATTTCCGATGAGTTTCTGAAAATGCTAGAAAAAGGACAGGCTGCCAAAGGCAGCCACCACGCTGTTCTCCATGATAACGGCACTAATGTTAAAAAAAATAAGAGCTTTTAATGATTGTAATGTATACAGTTTGGGCTGTTTGGCAAAACCCTGCAGATGTGCATTAATGACGCTTTATTTTTAAAAAAAAAACAAAAACAAAAACAAAAAAACCCAAAAACAGTCCATGTTGAAATTGATCAGTGTAAGTTAAACGGTGGTTTTTAGGCTGGACCCATGATTTAAGCTGTACCCATCCAGCTCAGACAAAAAAAAAAAAAAAAAAGAAAAGAAAAAAAAAATCATTTGAATGTTAAAGCAATTGTTCAGAGTCTTGAAAAAGAAATCAGGCAGGAAAATGCCCATAATGATGATTGGCAAAATCAAAATTGAAAACAAAGAAACTGTTTATCGAGCCGCCGACAAAGAAATCTTGCATGGAGACTACAAGTCTGGAGTTTCTGGGATGAAATTGTACAGGAATCTCAGTCCACAGTTTCCTCACTCGCTGCGGAGACGGAGCTGTCACTGAATCTGACAGAGCCCTGCACTCCCCGGTCCGCCGACCCTGTGGAATGGTGGAAACACAACGCAATCAGGCCTCCTAATCTCGCAGCGATCGCGATGTCTTTTCTTGGAGCTCCGCCAAGCAGTGTTCCCTCCGAGAGGCTGTTCAGTTCTGCTGAGGATCTCCACGGAGACCATCGCTGCAGACTTCTCCCCGAGAATGCAGAGAGGCTGGTGTTTTTTTTTTTTTTTTAAATAATGCAATTTGCCCAGAGTAAACTACAGGTATTAAATACAGTCTGATCTCACCAAAAACGCACGAATCATGCTATGGAGTTTGTACTGTAGTCAAATTGCACACAGAAAAGTACAGACTTAAGTTTAAGGTTTCTTAAACTTTGTGCATATCTCAAATAGATTCTGCATAAGGTCATCAAATAATGGCCATAAATATGCTACGAATCATTTTAATATACAAAAAGGTTTTACAGCACTGTAAAAATAAATGTGGCAAGATTTTTTTTTTTCAATCAGGTTGTCTTGTCTGATTTGTCATAGTCCATGTTTGACCACTATTGACATAGCTACTATTCGGTATTCAGTCGAATACCAAAAAAAGTGGATTCGTCACATCCCTAGTTTATAAACCAGTGAAACCCCAGAATCTTATGGAGAAAAGTTGGAAACAGTATCAAGCCTACGTGGTGTTCTCCAATTTACCAAAACAAATAAGACTTTTCACATGGAGGCACAGAGTAAGATCAATTCTAAAAGACACACACGCACGCATGCGCGCACACACACACAAACACGGGAATACTTCAATTTCACACAAATTATCGACTGAAGAGCGACAAGTGATTTACAGAGACACACAAAAATACATGAAGTACAAATAATTCTTTCAAATTGTTTTTAATCAAGGAAATGCAGAGCAACATTATAATAACTCACCTTTTTGTAATCCAGTCTTCACTGTAGCCTGAGGAACTGTTTCAACCTGTTTGGACAGAAAAATACAGCATTAATGGGGAATTTTTTTTCACTTAATTAACAGAGGGAAAAAAATAATACTTCGATCAATCTAAGTAATGATGAGCGATTAATGTATCTGAAATCTGGACTCGGTCCCATTTTCTGGTAAAGTTCTCTGTCTCAGGGTCAGGGAGGGTTTAAATTCTAGCTGCCTGTGCTGGATACCAAGTGACAACACATAGCCACATGCTTTTGAGCAACGACCTTTCCCACCATTCCCTTGGTATATGAAAAGAACACAAATACTTTCCTCAGTGTCTGGGAGGCAGGAGAGGGGTTGTTTCTGCAACCAGCCCCGATGTTGCTATAAACCCCTCCCGCCCCAAAGACGTTAGGATAAATTTTTACTTACTATGATACTCAGGTTAATGTAACTCACGCCACTTTAAGACCCTTCCGCGCCTGCACTCACATCTAAGTTGCTGGGAATCAGGACCCTCTCTGTAGAGAGTGCTACAGGGCTCCATACAGCTGGAAGCTCAATACTTTTGCTGCTAGTACAAACTTAAGAAAATAAGTTTGTGATATTGCAAAAGCACTTTCTTGAGTGTCTTATGAACAGTGTCTTGATCCTACATTAGGAGAGCGAGATCAGAAGTTATTCTGCCAATGTTTATGTAAAACACGTGGTAATTTGAGGATTGAACCATTGGAATTAAAGAAAGGATGCCATTTGGAGGAGTACCTGCTTAAGCTATGAATTGGATTTAATGTTTCTCTGAGTGGTGAAATATGCATGTTGCAACACATTTTGTAAATATTTAAGGATTATTCTAAGCTTTTTAAAAAAATTTTTATTTTTTCTTTTACAACAAGTAAAAAAAACATACAACAGAAGTGCTTTTATAAGATACAATTAGTAATACAAATATAAAATCTTCTAAACAATCACTGGTATTGTTTTACTACTAACTATAAACACAGTGGCATTAACAATCCATCCCAGTTTTTGTACTCATTCTCCTTATTAATTTTAGACTGACTGGTCACAGACTGAATTTGGGAACCAGCTAGCAAAATCACAACTTCATTTTGGAAAGGAATACTGGAGATCTGCAAGAGGTTAGAAAGATTTTTTGGAATATAATTTCCTAAGTATGAAAGCTAATTATGATAAATGAATGACAAATTAGGATATTATTTATATTTTTGTTAAATATTTCTGGAAAAACTGTTTTACATGTCTGATGATACCATAGAGTACCCACAAAATCACCTCTTAAGTTTGGAAGTTTAAAATTCTGAAGGAAATAATTTAAATAGAAAACTTCACATTCTTCCATATTTAAGTAGTTTTAAAAATATAAAGCTTATTGGAACTAATACTATTCACAATTCTTTTTGTTTAGTAGCAGCTGTCTGGGTATAAAACTGGATATTCTTTCACTTTAACAAATTAAGAAAAATTCTGACTGTGAATTTAAGTTAAAGGAGTTAACGATTTCCAAACATTTCTTTGAAAAGGTAATTTAATATGCCTATTGCTGTATTGATTACACTGGCTGAATACCCTTCCGTCAAAATGCCCCTCCTTCTTTTTACATAAATAGTGTGTATCTGATAACTTAGTAACAGGTGAGTGCCATTCCACTGGGAAAATAACATTCCAAAAAATCTGTGATACCAACAGAAAAACCAGATCATCTATGATTATCTGTTTCTTAAATAAAACTCTTATAGGTAAATTAATTTGGTCTGTTTAAAAAATAAAAATAATATATACCAGCAGCTTAAACCAAAAATTAAAATTAAAAAAAAAAGGGAACTCAATGATGGTTCCAAATAAAAATCACGAAAACATGAAATTATTTTGCTCGTAACTGAAATGTCAAAATCAATGTGAGGAATTCTTTAGAAGTCTTGTACCACTGACTTCCCATCTCCTGAAGCCTGATCGTTTTCTGTGAAAATGCTTGAAGCAGCATCACAGGGATGGTTGTATTAGGACTGGGCACTGGGATTCACCAGGACAGAAGCATTAGGTAGTCCGGAAAGGAAAGCCAGTGTGGGGGGAGTCTCTCTTTCTTTTAAGACACCAGCATAAGCCACAACACTCACAAATACGACGGTTAACCCTCTACATGTGGGAAGCCAACCTGCTCCTTTTTGATCTTCTTCTTTGGCACGACCTCAGTGGATTTCTCTGATTCAGAACGGGTTCTAATGGATCTTCTCTGTTGCTTCTTTTCTACTGAGCCTAAAAGACAATTCAAACGAACAAACAATAAAACCTCACTTGAGTAACTGACATTCAAGTAATTAAGATCTGACCAAATTCCTTCCTTTTCTTATCCATTACTTTTGGTCTTTTAACTATAACTCATTAAAAAAACTATTAAACACTTGGGAGTACATTAAAAAAATTGTATAGATCAAATTGTAAAAGTTGATGGGTTGAGACTAGGAGTCATAACGCACTCTGAACTATACAGATAAAGAGGGATTGGATTTTTAAAAATTGTAAAGTCAAACCAAAACAGCAGATAAACCCATTTAGGTAATAATAATTGAAGGGATGAAGGGACTGAGGGGATGGATGAAAATGATTTTATTCTCAGTTGACATTAGGAATTAATGGTTCAAAATTCAATCGGTACTATGTATTTTGCATTTTAACAAATAAATTAATTCTACACGTAAAATGCTTAATAGTGCTAGGTGCTGGTTTTGCTATTGTTATATCATTAACAACCAAAGGGAAAAAAGCAGGAAAGGCACAAAAATGGGACTAAAACTGAATCATTAATTTGACTATCAAGGGACTTGTACAACTTAGAAATAATTAGTCATGGAAAACTAGTTGAAACAAATTATCAAGCTATTTAATATTAAATGGTGAAAAAAAGAAACTATGAAGATTTTTAAACAGTAAAATTCTTTGAAAGAAAACTCACATAGACCCCATTTTGGAAAGGATAAAACTTAAGATTGAAGGCCGCAATGTGAAGAAACACTAAGTCAGGAATGAATCACAGAATGATTCATTCTGTGACCTTAAGAAGGAATGATACCTTCAGCACAGCTGTTCTCCATCTTTTCAGTGCTTGGACCACCTAAACAGTCCTTGCTAGATAATAATCACCTTGCAGAAGCTACCTCAATGAAGTGTTCCATATCACCTGTATATTTTCTGGTTTCATTGTTCTTGTTTATGTGGAAAGGGCTTTCCTCACCTTTGTTCAAAGCCAAAACAAAGAAGGATCCCACTACTTTTTGGGGGGAAGGAGTAGGTAGTTTGATGATAATGTATTGTTTCTGAGTTGTGCTTAATTAATTTCTAGCAGAGAAGTCACAAAATGAATGTGTCCTTTACTCTCACTCTTCTCCTTACAATGATGAAAATGTTAACTAAGACAACAGGTATCCTACCCTCACAGACACCTGAGTATTCCAGAGATTCACATTTCAGTATAGTCATCAACACTCAAGACCTACCAGGGAAGAGGAAAATGAAAATAGAACTGCGTAAAACAAACAAACAAAAAACCTTGTTTTGAGAATGACAACAAAATTGTTCTAGCAAGGGCAAATGATATTTGCTCTATTGTCTTACAAAGATAAGACAATGTGGTGACTCCGTAAAATTATTCTGAAAGCTACCCGAAGAACATATACATTCTACTACATTTAAAGACACTAAAAAGTATTATATTTATGTTCTAAGAGAGGAGAAGTGAGCATCTCTGGATTTGGAAAATAGCTTAGAAATCTGGTAGAAATGCAGATACAACTCCTCAAACCATAGAAATGTAGCAGTGCCACACATCCTATGTAGCACCTAAATTTACTAAGAAAAGGCTGGAGAATTCCCCATGAGTAGTTAACACCAAATGAGATAATGGTACAATTGGTTTCTGAAGGGAGATCGGGTCTCTTTTCTGACTTTTCAACTACTGAAGTTATTTTCGCAAGGAACAAAATGGTCATGTAAAAAGATAAAATATGCTTATCAACTACGGCTGGTAACCAAATTTAAACCAAGGTCAAAGCTTTAGAGCGCTCATCCCTAAATTAAGGCTGCAACGTTAATTTACAATCTCATTACATTATGTCTGCCTGAGGAAGGAACTGGGCTTTTTCTTGATATAAAGAATTATAACCTTCCACCTTTAGCTTTCACTAGAAAAGGAAAAAAAAAGAAGGAAAAGAAGAAAATCCACAGCAGAACTTAAATTGAAATGAAAAGACTACATGAAGATAAAATGTTCAGTAGCTGAGGGGCAGAAAAAACAATCTCCATTAAAAGTAAAAGTTTAATATTTAAGATCAATCTAATATCCTATGAAGAATTTACTTTCTCCCTAGTTTGGAGAATGCAGATGTTTAAGTAATGATCCTCCTAGTCTAAATATCACACTTACATTCAGACAAATTACTAACAGTTTAACAGTAAACAGTTTAACAATAAACTAACAGTTTAACAGTAAAGAAAGATGACAAAACTGATAGACCTAACTACAGAGCACTGAGGCCAAAAGAGTCTTGTGGTATCAAAGAAGGTAACAAACATTTTCAATTATGGCTAATTAATGCAAAATCTTCTAAGTCCATTATTCATTGCTTCATTATAATTTCATTTTTTATACAGTATTTTGAAGTGATACAAGTTGCAAATCTGGTTCTGGACTTTGCTACTCCCACCTTACCTTACTGCAGCTTCCTTTCCCAACTCATTGTTGAATAAAGGCATTCTATTTACTATGCCCTGTCCCATACGTGGCAACACCTTTCCCCATCCTGCAGCCCTTTCTTGAAAATAAAGGGCTGCAAGTTCTTTCCTGAATAATGATTGTTTTAATTTAGCTTTTATAATAAGAAGAATCTTACTCAAAATTTCCCTTACAAAAATACTTACCCCTTAGTGCCACTCAATTACAGGTTTGCCTGAGCTACTACTGATCCAAGATTACTACCTTGGGTCTTAAGACTTTAATCCTTCTAGAAAATTATTTGGTCACTTCTTAGATTCCAAAAAAAAATGTGAAAGAACAAATTGAAACAAACTCCTTCCTCCTAAGATTTCAAATGACCAAGTTAGTTGGTATCTAACTCTTTTCTTAACAGCTGTATGCAGCAGTAATACTGTTATATAAACCAAATCCACCAGACACTCAATTAAGCTTCTATAAGATCCTCAGTCAGTCTCTTAATAAAAATTACTTTGCCTATTCCAAAGGCACGATCTTACTAAATACAGGCATTTCTTCTTTGAGCAACAATAATGTAGCTTGATTTTCAATTCATGGTATCTGTTAATCAGAGAAGATTATAAGAGAGCTAGGTCCAAACCCCTCAACTGCTGACATGTAGCACACCTAAGAATAATGGAAAGAGTGTGGGCATCTACCAATTTGTGTCCAATAGGGGATAAAGGAGGAAATAGTAAGAATGTGTTAATAGTGCTGGAAAATTAAAGCTGTTAGTCTCATGCAGAGAGATCATCAAATGGTGCATCTAGTCAGATATGTACAGACTGTATAACTATAGTCTTTTCATTATAGAATCCTATTATTTAAATTCCTGTAGGAAAAATAACTATTACTATCAATAAAGCTCTCTGGCCCCTAAACCATTCTTTCCTATTGAAATAATCACTTTTATGATTTCATTTTTAAAATATAATTTGATTTTGATAGGAACAGAGCTGCCATGTGACAGTCAAGCAGAACCAAGAACTCCAATGGGAACGTACTCTACATTCATACCCACCTGCAGGACCAGATGCTGTTTCCGGAGATGACATATTCTGAGTTGCCTTTTCATTCCTCTGGTTTGGTGTAGAAATTATAAGTCTGTCTTGTCCCCTGACACTTATTTCTGTTTTGTTACCAATTCCCTTCAAAATAAGGCAAATTAAAAAATAGGTGATTACCAGGCAAATGGCATCATTGGCTTATAAAGATGCCTTAAGACCATCATAATGTGCTTGGATTTTTTTTTTTTTTTTTTGCGGTACGTGGGCCTCTCACTGCTGTGGCCTCTCCCGTTGCGGAGTACAGGCTCCGGACGCGCAGGCTCAGTGGCCGTGGCTCACGGTCCCAGCCACCCCGCGGCACGTGGGATCCTCCCGGACCGGGGCACGAACCCGTGTCCCCTGCATCGGCAGGCGGACTCTCAACCACTGCGCCACCAGGGAAGCCCTGTGCTTGGATTTTATATGGTCTTTGATTGCAGTTAATTTATTATCTTAGCCATTATCAGAACAATTTTATTAAGTCATCAGGATGTACTCTAAAATGTACAATGAGACTATGTGGGGGAAAAAAACCTGTTTTCTAAGTCCAGATGATGAATATCACTAAAAAATAAACCTGTATCATCTAATTTTCTGTCAAAACCAAAATATTTTCTGGTCTGAATAGTCTCTCCCTTTACCCATATCACAGTAAGAGAACTATAGTCATTTTCATGTGGTAAAGTACCCTACTACAGATAAAAATATCAACACGTCTTTGAAAGACAAGGATATCCTTAGATTACAGAAGTGTGATGAAAATGTGCACCCCATAAGCAATCTGGAGCAGAGAGAAGGCAGGGAGAATTACAGTTCTGTCTCATTTTAGGTATTTTTAATGCAGTGAAATAAAGGAGTGATTTATAAATATAGTACATGTATTTCTAAAGCTTTCATTTTTAAAAGGTCAGTTTTATCTCAAATTTGATTTAAATAGCACTCTTTGGGGGGGGGACAAAGTTTGATTTGTGCATCCAAAAGCAGATAAAAACCAGCTCCAAGAATGAAGCCAATTCGCATTCGAAAAAGATACAAAGTATTTACTTGCGAGTCAAAGCTGTCAACAGAACCAAGTGGGGACTGTAACTTAAGTTTTTCCAAGGAGCTTCGCCTTACTGAAATCGGTTGAACCTATAGGCAGAAACAGGTTAACAGAGGACCCTTATGCTTCTCTTTAGGAAAATATATCACCGATGAGGTGCACCTATATTTATTTTAATGTGCATAAGACAACGTTAGGAAATCAGCACAGAATTCTTTAAACAGCACACATCCATGAGGTGCCACTGAATTTGGATTCACAAGCCCACAGTTGTGGTGTCGGCTGGGAGGGTAGTGAAGAGGTACACGGAATAGAAAGTACAAATGTTGTAAAAGAGTTTTAAAGTCTTCAAGCTAAAGTGTAAGCGCCCTAAATGGAGGCCCAGGGCTGTCTGAGGGAGGCATTCCGTTTGAAGAGGCTACTTTCACCCCGTTACACAAGCTGTCACCACAGTTCATTGTGACAGAACAAACACAGTTCTGGTACTTCTCTAAAATGTATGAGCTATCGCAGGTCAACATGAGCCAAACAAAATTGCTGGTGCAACCAAACAGAGCAACAGGTATAATGATTACAACGGTTAATTCAGATAACTGACAGAAATGATTCAATAAGAAGCATACTTTGCAACTAAGAAAAACTAACCACACAAACCAGAAACAGGCAAAGTGCCCAGTTTTTTTCCATGATTTTAGGGAGCTCAGCTCAATTTTGGCTGCACAGCCCAAGATTAATCTAGTACAGATGGGGATATTACAAAAGAGAGAAAAAAAAAGAAGAAAAGCAAAGCTTTTTTGCCTATGTCTTTTTTGCCCCCATCTTAAACAGAGTAAACTGACTGTACATTTCAAGTGCAGTGAATACAATGGGTATTCAAATTATGACCTTGTGTTGTTTGGGTTTTTTGGGTTTTTTTTTTTGCGGTACGCGGGCCTCTCACTGTTGTGGCCTCTCCCGTTGCGGAGCACAGGCTCCGGACGTGCAGGCTCAGCGGCCATGGCTCACGGGCCCAGCTGCTCCGCAGCATGTGGGATCTTCCCGGGCCGGGGCACGAACCCGTGTCCCCTGAATCGGCAGGCGGCCTCTCAACCACTGCACCACCAGGGAAGCCCTGGGGCTTTTTTAAATGCCAAGGTTGACTACTTACTAGATACCTAGGTTCCCCCAAAAACCCATGAGAAAAGAAGGTACCTTCGTTGAATAAACGAACTGATCGATAAATTTCCCATCTCCTGTAGCATTCTGAAGAGCAAACACTTGTTCAATTTTCACAACTGGAGACATGTTACACTTCTGCAAATCCAGGCTCCCTTTGTGCATTGTGATGGAAGCTGGTAAGGATTTCCTCGCAGCTGCCGTTTTCCAGGCTACTTTAACAGGAGGTGGTTCGTCCTCTTCCACGCTTGTGTGCCGCCTCTGGCTGTGTCTCCGAATTTCAGTACCTGATAGTGAGGAGGCCGCCTCGCCTGCACTGGTCTGTTCTGGCTGAGTATTCAGCACTGATCTTGGCCTTCGGGTTTTTTTAACTTCAGCCTTGGAGGCAACATTCTTTTTTGCTTGGGATAAAGCCTCCTCAGGCTGTTTATCAATGTAGATAAAAGTATACTGTTCAATTCTTTCCTCCCGGGTCATTTTCAATGCTTTCTCTGCGTGGGCAATGCCGATATCCCACTGAGCACGTTCTCTCTGAGGCCGGGGTTTCCGAATCTGTAAAGAAAGATACAGGCATTATGGAACATGCTTTAATCTAATAGGGACAGTTAAAAAAACATGTATTTCCCATGTGGTCTTATCATCTTTCCAGGTATGCATAAACATCTTCAGGGTCTTCAGTCAAACAAGGGAAATGTTCTAACTCCATGACTTTGATGAATCAGCGCTGCTATCAAGGACATGCAGGTCCACTCTTTTACAGTAAACCCTTCTTTGTTGTCCACTCTGCTGGACAAGTCCCTCCAAGAGGGAGTCGTCCTCCTCATGTCACATTCCTAAAAAGCTGGCAGTGATGATGGCAGAGAGAAGAAAGATTACAGAAAGGATAACTTTCAGGGGCCAATAAAACACTAACATTAAAGACAACACCCTAAAGCTCAGGGGTGCCACAGAGACCACAGCAAAGCTAAGTAAGTGGCACAGAGCCAGCATTTGGAGCTGAGCGGCCAGCCTGTGCCAGAATGCAATCAGGGGCAGAATGCAGAGAAAGGGGAGCCCCGAGGAACACGTGGAAATCGATACAACACAAGAAAACAGGATCGTATGAGAGGAAAAATAAAGCTGCATCACAGTTTCCAGAGTCCTGATCAGAAGACTTTGGATTGGCAAAACAGGTAAGAAAATTTTGAATAAAGGTATGTGAGATGAGCAAAGCAATTAGGAATTATCCAGGGGGTTAGACTGAGGTAGCCAGAAATTAGCTAATGAAACAAGGAGACGGTACAGTATATGTCAAACACCGTTAAACACTGTGAAGTGTTAAGTTTGATAAAAGTAATCAAAATCCTCTGTGAAAATATTTAGCTTAGAGTGAAAATATTTCTGAATCACCAGAGGCCCACACTAAATTAGTTGAGTTTAAAAATCTCGACCAGACAGATTATCAAGAGTTCATGTCAAAATTCTAGTATGTCCACCACCACAACAAACATCTTTAGTTCCATCACTAGTGTGACCTTGGTTGAACCCGCTACTTAAGGGTTCTGTGCCTCAATTTCTTCATCTGCAGAAATAGGAATAACAGTATCTACCTCACCAAAGTTGTAATGAAGATTAAATGGATTAATACATATAAAAAATGCTTAAAAACAGTGCCTGTCTCAGAGTAAGTACTAAATATTTTTAAAACCTTACTTTCATAAAACAATTTTGCTAAATAAGAATAAAGGGAAATTAGGGGAAAATGCTGAAATAGGAAAAAACATAAAAATCTCTGACAAAATCCTCATTTCACTAGCATCTACTAGACTATGTACATTTGAATTCAATTCAAAATAGAATCCAAAATTGTATTAAGCAGATAAAGTTTTCAGTAGGACTATAATGTTGTTTATATGACATATAAAATTTATTGACACACAATGAATTATTAAAATTGAGCTTAGGGGACTAAAATAAGTCATTCTAATTGCTTGAATTCAAGTATGAAAAGCTCTACTAAATTATTAAGTCCTTTACAGTCCACATTCAATTGACCATGTTCCTATGTCATCAGTCACCTTCTGTTTCTCAGAGTGATTGCTGGCTTGTCTGGTCGCCTCGGCCAGTAGTTCTTCATACTGTTTGTGACCTTTGTACTCTCGGACCCGCTTTTCGTGAACCCACGCCCTCTCTGGCTGGTTGCTAAAAAATTGGACGTGATATTCCCGGGCACCTGTAAGTAAAAATTCTTATTAGCCCTTTCAGAGCATAAGCAGCCACATATACTTTGCCAAAAATGTGGACCTAAGCCAGGTTCCCTAGTTTACTCCTATTAAAACGTGTCATTTTTGGATCGTCCAAAGATGTAATCCAACATCTACCAATAACACAACTAATTGTTACTGTAAAAATCACCCCAAACGATTAAACTTGGTACAGCAAGTTTTAAGAGAAAAAAAAAAAATCAGAAATTCTGCTGTCAGATTTGTTACCTTGGTTACACAATTTATATTTACTGGCCTCAAACCTTTTTACAAACAAATCTGGGTACAAATAAATAATTTTTCCTTCAAAAAAATGCATAACATATTTTCTTGGACTTTCAAAAGCCAATTGCTGGTCAAACTGCTTTTCTAATGACAAAAACGTGTGGCGCACAGACCTGGGGGTGGTAAGGGGAGGACAGGCTACTGAGACTCTCCCAGGGATCCTGCAAGGTCAAAACCATCTTCACAATAACACCAAGATGTTGTCTTTTTCATGATGTTGACATTTGCACTTAATACAGCAAAAGCAATGGTGGGTCAGACTGCTGGCATCTCAGCACAAATAAAGGCAGCGATGACACCAAATTATACTAGTGCCGTATCCTTCACAGCCATATGCTGGCAGTTACAAACAAACAAAAAAGCCAGTTTTACTTAATATCCTTGATGAAGCAGTAAAAATTACTTTTACTAAATCTCAACCCTTGAACACGTCTTTCTAGTATTCCTTGTGACAAAATGGGAAGGGTGCATAAAGCACTTCTGCGTGCTGCAAGTATGAAGATTGCCTTGAGGGAAAGTACTTCTGGGATTGAACTGCAAGGTGAACTGGCCACTTCTTCATGGAGCATGACTAAGAGAAAAACTACGGTTATTTGAACTTGAGAATTTGGCAGGTATTTTCTCAAAAGTGAACAAGCAAGTTTGTCACTTCAAGGAAAACAGCTGATAGTATTTGTTGCCAATAATAAAATTTGATCTTCCAAGAAAAATCAAAATATTGGAAAACTAGTATCTGCCCCTATGAGTCTTCCAATTTCCAAATAATCTAAGAATTTTCTGATGAAGTAAGTGGTGACAACGAATGTGATTTTAAAAATATCTATAAAGGAATGTGTCAACATTTGGAAGATATGCATGCAATATTTTTTAAATGGCCAATGTATGATGTTACAAAGTCATGAAAGGCAAATGATCCATTCAAAGTGCAAGGCAGAAACCAAGTACAAAAAGTTTATTGATAGGATTTCAGATTCCATATTGCAACTACCCCACGACTTGCTGAGTTTGGGGGCAATATCAAAGAAATATACCCACAGTTATCTGAAAAGGCTATTATTAAAATACTCTTCCCTTTTCCAACTACACATCTGTGTGAGGCCAGATTATCTTCATTTTCTTCAACCAAAACAACAAACCATAACAGACTGAATGTAGAAGCAGATATGAGAATCTAGTGTCTTCAGTTAAGCCAGTCATTAAAGAGATTTGCAAAAATGTAAAAATACCATTCTTCTCAATTTTTTTGCTTGAGAAAATATTTTTCATAAAAACAGAATTAATAATATAACATACAGTAGCTTTTTAAAAATGAATTGGTAAATATTTAAAATTTTTCTCAGCTTTAATTTCTAAATTAACATCAACAGTAATAGATATAACCTATGTAAACAAAAGCATTTAGAGTCCTCAAATTTTAAGAGTAAAAGGGGTTCTGGGACCAAAACACTTGAGAACCACTGCTCTCTGGCGGTGCTACTCTGAGTGTGGTTCCCAGGGCAAACCAGTCTGCCACAAAACAAGCAGAGAAGGTAAGAGTGAGCATTTAGAAACTATGATAATTTAACATTGTGTGACATCTAGGCCCATGATCAGGGATCCTGTACCGTGTATTTTTTTTGTAAGGGGAGGCCTTTCATTTCCCAAATAGTTAATTTTATCGTATTTTACAGAAGTATTGGTCCATGGTGGACTGGAAAATTTTTTTAAAAGAGCAAAAAACTAGTCCTTTACCAATAACAGTTGAAAAACATCACTGTAAAGAAAACATCTCAGGTCAATAGAGAAATGTGAAAACTGGTCCTCTTGGGGAATCCAAGATAAGGCAGGTATGGAGAGAAGGACAAGCAGATCTTGACAGAAAGTATGGGTATCAGCGTGAACTCAACTGACTGAGTTACAGGAAAAGGATTATATCTTGGATTTGAAATTTTTAAATTTTATTAGACATTAACGGGAGATTACTTAAGGAATTATTTTTAAACCAAATTAAAATTTCATATGTAAAATAGCCTGTGAGAAAAGAGAAACATACACAACTTGGTTTTCCATAACATCTCATCTGAGAAGAGCCAAGCATAAATTTGACTGTAATCAATCAAAGAAGGTTTATTAAAAGTCCAAGCGTTTTGGAGGACAAGAACAAAAATACAGCCTCAACTAATAGGTAGGTCTGGAGGTCAGGGTGGTGGGTACAAGCAGTAGGGTTACAAGAACACAGGACAGGTGAAATCGCGGGCTTCTCGTTTTGTCCCGAGGCCGCGGGGCTCGTTTCTGGCACCATGGCGCCAAGGGCCTCCCCAAATCCTTACGCCGATTATAACAAATCCCTGGCTGAAGGCCACTCTGATTCTGCTGGGATGACTACCAAATTCTCACAACTCCTGAACAATAAGATTCGAGAGCTTCTTCAATGAATGGAGAGAAGCCTAAAGTCTGCGGACACTCGGACAGCACTGTTTACACTGGCTGGGCAGGTATTGCTGTGCTTTACTTACACCTCTAGGATGTGTCTGGGGACCCTACCTACCTACAGATGGCACATGGCTATGTAAAGCAAAGTCCGAACTATCCGACCAAGCATTCCATCACCTTCCTTTGTGGGGATAGGGGCCCCCTGGAAGTGGCCGCTGTGGTGCATCACAAGATGAACAATGAGAAGCGGGCAGAGGACTGCATCGTCCAGCTAATTCACCTAAATAAGACTGATCCCCATATGCTCCAAATGAAATGCTCTATGGTCGAATGGGCTACATCTATGCTCTTCTCTTTGTGAAGAAGAACTCTGGAGTGGAAAAGATTCCTCAAAGCCATGTTCAGCAGATTTGTGAAACAGTCTTAACCTCTGGAGAAGACCTAGCTAGAAAGACTCCACTGGTGTATGAATGTTACCAAGAATACCATATCGGGGCTGCTCATGGCCTGGCAGGAATTTATTACCACCTGAGGCAGCCCAGCCTTCAAGTGAGCCATGGGAAGTTACACAGTTTGGTCAAGCCTAGTGTAGACTACGTCTGCCAGCTGAAATTCCCTTCCGGCAATTACCCTCCTCGTGTGGACAATACTCGGGATCTGCTAGTTCACTGGTGCCACGGTTCTCCTGGGGTAATCTACATGCTCATTCAGGCCTATAAGGTGTTCAAAGAGGAACAGTCTCTCAATGATGCCTATCAGCGTGCTGATGTGATCTGGCAGTGTGGCTCGCTGAAGAAGGGGTACGGGCTGTGCCACGGCGCTGCAGGGAATGCCTACGGCCTTCCTGTCGCTGCACAACCTCACGCAGGACGCAAAGTACCTGTACAGGGCCTGTAAGTTCGCTGAATGGTGCTTAGATTATGGAGAACACAGATGCAGCACACCAGACACTCCCTTCTCCCTCTTTGAAGGAACGGCTGGAACAATTCATTTCTTGGCTGACCTCCTAGTGCCCACAAAAGCCAGGTTCCCTGCATTTGAACTGTAAAAGGAAAGTCCCCTCACTGCAACTCACTGCATGAGCCTCTCTATACATCAAACCCGGGCTAAAGCAACAATAGAGTCAAACTGTGTACTTTAGTTGATTTTTTTTTTCCAGAATATGTCTTTAGTTCAGTTCCTTTTTATTATTTACTTTTATTTTAAGATATCCAGGGAAATCTTAATTAACTTCAGTTTCTCCTAAAGGGAGGGTAGGTGATGTGTACAGTATTTTGAGAGCATATATGCATTTATTTCAGAACTTGGAGGCAGTCGTATTCTTTACTCAAGCTTATGAATATAACCATCTGTTACGGTTCTAAAAATGTTTAAAAGAAACTAAATGTAGATAAATACATGCTTATCGCTGGATATTGACATCCACCTCTTCCCTTTAGTATGTTTTTTATGACACTTTTATGACTTTGCTTTTCTCTGAGTGGTTGATTATGAAACGGGACAAAAATATAACTATATGCTTCCAGGTCAAAAATTGAAAGAGTTGCCAACTGGGCTAGGGACCTAAACACCATTTTTCAGATTCACAATGCTTAAACTAGAGATAAACATACTTTCAAATTTGCCTCTTTTTGTTAGTAGAGCATCCAGGCTCTACAATCCAACATTTTTATCAAAAACTTCTGAAATGTGATGGTCGTTATATGAAAATTCTGATTTGAAGGTTATTTCTAGATAAGCTAACAGAAAGTTTGTTTTCTCCAAATAAGCTAGTATGTTTTGGAACTACTTATGTAAATTTGTTTCTTCTTTGGAATAACTGTAAGATCAGGAAATGAGATTTTTGTGTGTAAATATATTATGATTGAGTCCACCCTTTCTGACTGACCTTCTAAACTTTGTGTTTTACTTACTTTGCAATGACGATGCTTTATAAAGCGTTGGTTGCTGGGAAGAAGCCATAGGATATTTTCCTTCCTATCTGTCTAGATGTTGATCTTTTCACTAAATAGTAGAGCACTCTACTTGTTTAAAAAGGGGGAGGGGTGCTATATCGCAAAATCGCTAAGCTTTTGACAGGAATGCTGGTTCCTGAGAAGGTATTATCCAGTGATTATTCTTAGAACAAATGGCTTTTGTCTCTTTGCATACCCTAGGCTTTAACACTCATCCATTCCTGAGCCCTCAGGATCGGATACTGATATGGTAGGTGAAGAATCCCTGGTGCTTCAAATTCTGTACAAATGTTTTGACTCATCAGCTCCCATTCCTC